GTGTCCTCGCCTTCGGGGTCGAGGTTCTTCGTGACGTCGTTGATCGTTGTTGGTGGTGGTCCTCTCTCGACATAGCAAAGATGTGCTGGTGGTCGTGGTGAAGTCCTTTGATTGTTGGCGAATTGAGGAGTTTCGCGTCGTCCTTGATTCCAAGAATGCGCAGTACGTCCGCTTGCAATTCGTCCAAAGTGATGCTCGGCTTTGACTCCAGTTGCTGCAGAGCCCGGGTGCGTACGTCCATGAATTCCGGTCCGTTGAGACCCATGATCCAGACGAGAATCTGGGTTTGCTCCGGCGTCGTCGTTGCCCATTCTGCTTGCGCGAACTTCCTCTTGATTTGGCCAGTGTATTGAACAAGATCCGAACCAGTGAATTGCGATTGCAGAAATTCGAATCGGCGTCGGAATACAGACTTCGAGTGTCCAAAGAGAGTCTTGAGCCGGGTGATGGTCTCTTCGAGCGTCAGATCCGATGGTTTTCTTGGCAGGATGTTGTCGGCGTACTTGGCGAAAGCGGGGGCATCGAGCTTTGATAGGATGATCCTGGTTTGGGTGCCGTCGTCCAATGTTGATCCATCCAGTCGCAGAATGTCCTCGTACCGTGAATACCAGATTTCGAATGTGGTTCCTTCATCCGGGTCGAAGGAGAATGTCGGTAGTCGAGTCGTCAGCGAGTCGATAAGCCCTGTTTGGGTGTTTGGTTGTGCGGGAGCGGTTGGTGAAGTGCCTGGTCGTCCCTCCATCAGCAGTTTGGTGATTTCTCGAACGAAGTCTTGGTTCTGCTTCGCTTGCTCTGCCAAGAGCAGTTTGACTGTGTTGACGTCCATGGTGCGTAGATCCTGATCGCCAGTTGTTGTATCCTGATCGCCAGTTGTTGTGTCCTTGTGAACGAGCCAACGTAGAGAATATATTTATTAGACACAACTATGAATAACTGATTATTGAGCGTAAAAAGGGGTTTTTATATCGCTCCTATGAAACGTGTGCCACGTGGTGTGTCACGTGACGTGTCGAGGTCACGGCTCCAACAAAGTGCTTCCTTATATGGAAATTTTTGAGGAAAAAAATGCGATTTGGAACCGAATTTCGACGTCAATTCTTGTACGGATTCGTCGATCATCAAAAATCAAACAAAAAGTGCGTTATTCACACACTGATGCGCTTTTACAACGAAATCCTCTAATATTGGCCGTCGACGAAGGGGGCCCGTATGCCACGCCCCATTTTCGATCCCTTTTCCACTTCGCCGCCTATGAATTCATTTTCTTCGCACTTTTTTTGCATCCTTTTCTATTTTGCTGCTTCTTAAGAAAAAAATATATAATGAAAATGGTTTTTTCTCGTTTTTTTTCTCGAAAAGGAAGCGAAAAAGAAAATTAATAAAATTATTGGGTTTTGTCCGAAAATGGAGCATTTTTTTCGCCATCCTTCACCAAACTCAATTTTCGTTCAAAAATGCCCGAGTTTTGTGTTCTATGCTGTTTTTTGCTTCTTTTTTTATTTTTCGCATTTTTTTGAATCGCAAATTGAAAATCTCAAAAGTTGTGAAGCATAACTCTCTGTGTGTCTAGAAATTGCTGATTTTTTTTTTCGAAATGCCTTTAAATCCACAAGCTTAGAAGTTTCACCTGCAATTTTTTTTCAAGGCGATTTTTTATAAACTACCCTATTTCATTGAGGCCATACTATCTGGTGAAAAATTGGTGGCCGTAATATTTGCGGCCGCGAAAACTAGTCCTCGATGGTTCAAACATTTAGCAATTTCAGCCAAGTTTTTTGAGCGATGATTTATATTCGTTTTTGCTTCTAGCATAGTCCCCCCATTTTTTATGAAAAATTTCATAAGAATCTTCTCAAAACTAGTAGTAATGGAAAATGAATTCGGCGCGCCGAACGTTTGTCATTTCTTTTAATATGAAAAAGAAGACGCTCGTGTCTTGAAATTCTCTTCTCATTTTCTCTACTCGTTGAAACACAAATGAAGCTTCTACTATTACGTCTTCGCGTTTGACGTTTCGTATATATTGGATTTTTTTGTTATTTAATGAGGAAGCAACCTTCAATCGAAAAGTTTCATTGGATTTCCCTTATTTGGTCAATTGACATTCTCAAATTTCGAAATCCAATTCGATTTCTTTTGTACTTTTTCTCATTTTTTCAATCCAAAAACGTTTTTCTTTGAAAACATTTAAATTTCACCGCTTCACGGAAACGATTAGTGAACTAAAAGCGTATTATGACGTATAAGATTACTGTAGCACTCATTTATGTGTGAAACTTGTATTGTTTTGCAATGAGCAAAAATTTTTGCGGAAATTCATGAAACTCGTTCGTCGAAAATTCGATAGCTGAAACAACGGAAATTAGAGGTTTCTGCAACTGATGTGAGAACGATGTGCTATTGTGTATTTACGCGCGAAATTCTCTATGCGCCTTTAATTATACTGTGTGCACAATTCAAAATATTCGAGCAAAAAATTATCAGGAAAACTCTGAAAAATACCCAATCAATTTTGGCGGTTGCTCGAGAAGAGAAACGTTTTGAAATGATATTAGTTTGAAACGATCTCTTGAGCTATGGTCCCGCAACGAACGGAAATGAAGCCACCAATTGTTTTTCGTCGGGCGGTCAATTCTTCTCATGACGTACATGGTAGTGATTGGTGTGTTTTAGCACAACTCGCAAAATTCTCGAAAAAAAAAAACATGAATTCCCACAGCTCATTTTCAGTAGCGACGTTTTCATTGTTTTGTTTTGTTTCACGCTTATCTGCGCGTGATCTACACAACCGAAATCGAATAATATTCGAATTTCGGGTGCCCACTACCTCTCTTTCGACAATTATTATTGGTTTTGTCAATTTAGCCGCCGATCCGTTCGTGTTATTCATTTCTCGCCTTGCCAAAAAAAATGAATGAATGAATGAATGAATGCACACACAACACCAGCAATTAGGCAGAAAAAAACCCATATACACACACAAACATCTCCTTCCAATTTTTTCTTCAACGATGACGACGATTTGGTCCTTCTAAAGGCCGACGGGCGGCTCTTTAAAAGTGGGCGGGGCTTCGATGTTTGCCCGAGAAGAACGCCAGTTTTCGACCAAACATCCGCGGTATTCTTCTCGGCGTCTATTTTTTTTTCAATTTCCATTTTTGTCAAGCTTACCTCAATATTTTTAGCAGACCTTTCTTAGCGCGACAGCCCATCTCCCTTAATTGGTCTCGACGGGAACACTATGTATTAAGTCTAGATTTAACAAAAAAAAAACTAAACACTTTTTTTTCCATGAGCTTAAATGTGTTTCCCACAACTCATGACTAATTTTATTCAAAAAAATTATTCATTTTTTCAAAAAAAAAACAATGATGTGTGTCATTTTTAATTTTAATGATAGCCTTGAATCTGACATTTTGCGAAATGTCTCGAGTTTGCTCTATATTCCTTTATTTTTATTCCATACATATGCTGCTCCTGATTAGAATGAGACTATTGGATACTGAAATTGCAGATTTCCTATAATATTTCCTCTATAAAAATTAATTAAGAATGTTTTAGGCTGAAATAAAAATTGAAATAAAAAAAAACTAAATTTGAAATGTGGCCGTGGATGAATTTAATTTCTTCGGCCGCGGCCATAAACTCTGAACCTCATTTTCGTTCCCATTTTGAAAAAAATACGAATTTCCGCAAATTCGAATCTTTATAGGATAATCGCTAAGCTTTTCAGCTGAAACCAACAAACGAATTTCCGGTTTAGTTTTCGACTAAAAATTTATTTTTTTTTTAATTTTATTGATAAAGTCTAAGTGGGCTGACAAAATGAAATCAAATCAAATGTCGGGCGTCATAAAATTAGATTTTCATTCGACAAAAAAGAAACACAGACTTCTGGGTTCGGCTAAACATCCAAATTAGGCGGTTTGAAACATTTCTGGCGAGAAGAGCAGTGACGAGTTTTTCAAAGATTTTGTCTTCTCGTTCATATTTTTTTTTTGAAAAGAACCGAGAATGAATCAAATTTTGAATAGCAAAGTCGAAAAACGTTCAGAAATCTCATTTTCTGAGTTGTCGCGGTTTTTTTTCTTTCTCTTCTCCTTTGCCTTCTTTTCGAATATTCCGTTAGTTTCAACCCCCCAATATATATGTGCATGTTTTCATGTGTATTTTGCTCTTCTTAATTATACCTTTGTGGTGCATCGAATAATTAAACTAGTCATCTCAATCGGGCATCTGGATCATTTCGCCATCTCCTCAATCATAAAATTTTACCACAAATTGATGAGATTTCATTTCAAACTTTATTGGCTCGGCCGAGTTCATTTAATGCATAATCCCATCTGCCGACCTCCTTCCGGGTTTTGTTCGCAAAAATTCATTTTATTGTCGGCGACGAACAACTAAATGGGCGGAGCCGGCAGTCTCCCAGTGTAGATTTACGAGTGATGCAAGTCGAAGACCTACCTCGAGACCCATTGGCACATTTTTCGAGATTACTGAATTCACTGAAACAATATCACAAATTTCTTTTTTTTTTTCAAAACAAACCCACAAAATTGTTAATTATATATAATTGTGCATTTCGAGCTTCCAATGAACTCTAAATATCTCGAATAGGCCTTCTATCAGAGGGCACTAAAGCGTTTTTTTTTTCAAATTCTCAAAATGTGCACTTCGGTTTCGTTCTTCCGACGTCTTCATTATTGTCCAATTAAAATACGGCGGTTATTTTCCTGTTCGGTGCACCTCGCACTGCTTCTATTCTCATTTTCATTCCCCCCTTTCATTTCTCTCTTCCCCACCTCATTTTCTTGTTCGCTTCGCCATTGATCCTCGGATTTATTCTGTGCTGTTTTTGTTGTTTTTTTTTCTCGTTATTGCTCAATGCGTAAATACATACATATATGTGGATGTGTGGGGTTCAAATTGATTATGCAAAATCGGTATCGGATTTCAGACATCGTTGGTGGCGGCGGTGATGCGGTGGTAGATCACAAATGGAGGAGAATACGACCGGCGAGTTTGATCCGTGCGGATTGCAGCCGCACGACTTCCTCGAGGTCAAATTCTTCATGATCAGCGTCATCGGCACACTCATTGGACTATTCGGCTTATTTGGAAATGCGACGACCGCCCTTATTCTGACAAGGTAGCTCCTCGAGAGCCTCCCCCCTCCAACGCATAGTTAATTATGCGGTTAGAAATGACTGCTGAATATGCAAATGAAAGTTGTTTTTCTAACGATGGTGTGCAGTTGAGAAGAAAAAAAAATACTGGAAAAAAATATATCGAAAATGGGCATTTCGGATGTGGGAAAAAATTTCCAAGTTCAAAATGTGCTATGAGGGTTCGGCTTGTTGAGAATGCTCGCCGAGTGTCGTCCAATTCGCTTTTCTTTTTCAGACCGTCGATGCGAAATCCGAACAATTTGTTCCTGACAGCTCTCGCCGTGTTCGACTCATGCCTTCTGATCACCGCATTCTTCATCTACGCCATGGAGTATATCATCGAGTACACGGCTGATTTCGACTTGTACGTCGCATGGCTCACTTATTTGAGGTTCGTGATTTTGTGCATAACAGCTCGGCTCGACTGATCGAGTTAGTCGGAAGTGGCGAAGCACTTGAGCCGGACACACTTCCGTGCCAAAACCAACGCGGCCGACGTGAGGTGTCAGAAGCAGACAGAAGTTTTTAGTGAAAAACTCCAACGATTGACAATTCCGCTTCCGCAATTAAATTGAACTCAGCTACGGACATGGTTGCAGGTTCGCGTTTGCTCTATCCCACATCTCACAGACGGGAAGTGTCTACATTACGGTAGCAGTGACGATCGAGCGTTATTTGGCTGTGTGCCATCCGAGACGGAGCAAGGCGATGTGTGGACCAGGTTAGAGATCAGCTCACGCCGAAATTGAATCGCGAATCTGATTACAAATTAAATTGCAAATAATATTATTAAATTAGAAAATGTCCGCAGCTGGATTTTTCAAAAATAAAAGTGAGAGTTGAACGACCACAATAACCCTTGAATTGTCCGCAGCATTTTTTTTCTCATAGGCGGCGCTGCGTGGACGATCCTTGGTGTTACCACCTTCGCTGTCGTCTTCAATTGCACAAAATTCTTCGAGCTTCAAGTCACTATCAATCCGGACTGTCCAGACGGCAGCAATTGGCAATCTTACATCCTTTTGCCGTCTGCAATGGCAAGCAATCCCGTATATCAACAGGTAGATCAAATCGAGTTCGAATAGCGCGCCTTAATGCGCCTTCAAAATTCAGGTATATTCGCTGTGGGTCACAAATTTCGTCATGGTATTTTTCCCATTTCTAACGCTCCTTTTATTCAACGCAATAATCGCCTACACGATTCGTCAAAGTCTCGAAAAATATGACTATCACAATCAGAAGTGAGTTCGGTTTCCGTTTATGGATGGCCTTGTTCGGATATGCCTCTATCATTTTGCCGCCCTCCCCGCAAGACAGATTCTATCGATTCGGAATGAGAATTTTTTCTCGTCATATTATTATTTTTTTTTCACCACCTCCCCCTTCTAAACCAACAATTCCAGAACAATTATGGCGGCTTTGTCGAACACCGCGAAATTGCAGCGTGGTATCGCCGGGTACTGTAATTTGTTTCACGTTTTTGACGTGTTTTATTTTTATTCTTCAATATTTTTATATTTTTGTTCTTTTCTCAACTCCCATTCCATTCAAAGTTATACTAGTTCAATTTAAAAGTTCTAATATACATATTTTTAGTTGGCGTCCTGCTGTAGATTTTTGCGGTGCGTCTTTCGAAATGGTCTCGCCACGCTATTTCGGTTTTTTTCACGCGAAACATTTATTTTTTCTTGTAGAGTTCGTATTTCTTTGAATTTCTAACGACAATCAAATTAACTATTATCGAAGCGATCCCTAAATGCGAAATAACCAGTTTGTCCGTGCGAGACCACGCACACCGTAAATCTACCCGTGTAATTTAGTTGCTGGACGCCGACTATATCAATATTTCAATCAAAACATATCGAAAACGTAAAACGACTGAATTAAAATTTTAAAAAATTTCTTTGGCTATTTGCCAGGTGTCTCGAGGTGCAGAGAACTGTGTGCGTGTTTGCGTACTCTGCATTTTAGCGTACGCGCAGATGATTTTTTTAAATTTACAAATCCATAGATCTACACAGCTTTTCCGAAATTGAATTTCCCGATATCGGTCAGTCTTTTGAGGCCTACAATATTACGATAGCAATAAACGATTCGCAAGTTATCCATATTACGGTACATTAATTCGTACCACTAATATCGATATTTGAATTACCGCCTTAAAAAAATTCGATGACTCACAAGTACTCGGTTCTCGCTTTTTATATGTGTTAATTGAAATATTATAAATGCATTTTGGTCCCGCGCAGAAAAACTGGTTATTTTACATTTTAACGGTCGGTTCGATAATTGTTAATTCGAATGACGTTGGAAATTTAATGAAATACGAAACGCATCAATGAATAATACATTTTCGGGTGAAAAAAAAAACGAAATAAGCGTTCACGCGTGGCGAGACCATTTTTAAAGACTCACCGCGTAAATCTACCCGCGCACAACATGTATTTAATAATTTATTCATTGTCGAAATTGTCATTTTTTCAATCCAAAAAAAATTTGACGCCAAAAAATGACAATTTCGACTACTCATTAAATTAGTAGAATTTATTTAAATTTTTTCCTCATAATTTTTTCACAATGCAAATAGAAACTATTGATTTCACCCCCTATTAATACGATAATTATCACAATTATTGGTGATTTTAATTGGTGTGTGGGTGTGTGCAGCACATTGTCACTTCATTCTGCTCCGTCTCTTCTCCAAAATACATTATTATATTGTCAAATTATTGTGTTTAGTTTTTTTTCCCACCGGAATGTATTCTTCTTCGTGAAATGTCGGCTTCTTTTCGGGAATATGTGCATCATTTTAAAGCATGCGCCTTTAATTTGCAATTCTTTTTTTCGCTTTTCTCCTTTCAGCCGACATTTCATTTTTCACCTCTTCTTTTTCTTCCCCCCGCCTCTCCTACTTTCTAGGCGTTTTCTTCTTCGATTCCTCTAAACCTTGATTTTTCAAAGGTGTGGTTTTTTTGGTGTTTCTCTTCTTTATTGGGTGTCAGAATGGAATCCCAAAATTTGATTTTTGAATTTAATATGCGCATTTTCAGAATTTCGAGTCGAAACGAGCTCAAAGAAAAGAGCCGAGAGGCGACTCTCGTCCTCGTCATTATCGTTTTCATTTTTCTTGGCTGCAATTTCTGGGGATTCGTGCTAACACTGCTCGAACGCATCATGGGATTAGATATTCTGGTATGTTTATAGGACCCGTCAGTTTTTCTCGCTTCGAACCATTTTTGGAAAACAGTGTCCCGTTGAATATCCGCAGATGATTTTGTGTTCTCGGGTAAATGAAAATCAATCGGATTCGAAGAAAAATGAAATATAAATTCACCTGATTCGATTAAAAAAATAATTGAAATTCGATTTAAAAACTTGGTTTCGATTCAAAAATCTTCGAAATCTATTTATTTGTTTTCTCATTTTTATTTTTGAGATCGAATTGGATTGAAATTTTGGAATAATTCGAAACAGATTAATATATATATATATTCAATTTAGATTGAAAAGGAAATTATTTTTGAATCCAATTGATTTTCATTTACCCGAGATTCTCATATTTGGACATCAAACAACTCGGAAGCTCATTGTAGAACACGATTATGAATCATTCATGAAACCCATTCTTTTCTATTGTTTCGTCGAACTCTTCTCGTTTTCAGCTCAGTGAACATCGAATATTTTACACATTTTCGCGCGAAGCGATCAACTTCCTCGCCATCATCAATTCATCGATCAATTTTGTGATCTACCTGCTATTCGGAAAGGATTTCCGGTATGATTTCAAGCATTTTTGACAAAAAAAAACGAACCAAATTATCTATAGAAAAGAGTTGGTAGTAGTTTATGGTTGCGGAATCCGAGGAGTGACGATGAGGCTGCCGGTTCAAGACAAATTCGCCATCTGGAGGCATTGGACGAAGCGGACGAAGAATATGAGGCGATCGATGAGCATTTCTCCGCGAACGAGGCACAAGGTAAAATTCAAATTACGGGTTTTGTTGAAATATTCGAAAAAAATCTACTTTTTTCCGAAAATTTAGTTTTCTAAAAAATTGAGTTTTGTGGTAACAAAACAACATTGGGCGTCTGGGTGTTTTGCGCAAAATAAGAAATTCGACTCCAAAAAGACGTTGGCCGATTGCAGATCTCGCTTCCGACGATAATCTCCGAACGCGCAAATCTCGAGGGTCTCGAACAGACGCGATTTTTGGCATCTCAAGAAGATGGATGCCTTGTAACTCATATGTCTCCAATTCATGCACTTAGAAATGGTAGCTCTCAGTTTATCTATGACCTTGGTTACTAACTGGGTTCACCAAAATGTAGGAATCAACGACGGAAACACGAATTTCCGAACGACGAAGACGGCGGCGATTTACGAGAACAGCAATGGCAACGGCGCGGTCACAATGTGCACCATCACCGAAACAGTCTAAGCACCAAATATGCACCAATTTCATTTTTACTTTTTTCTCTCAACTAACCATTTTCTTTGGCCTATATTTTTTCTACGGTTTTTGAATTTATTTTTTTTTAATAATTTTTTTGTTTTTTTTCTGAATGTAATAAAGACACAAATTTCACTTATAATACAACAAAGAAATGAGAGAAAGAGAGACGCGTGAGTAGTGCAAAATAGGCAAATAAATTAAATGATGCACCGGCTTGATTACCACAATGACATTTCATTCATGTCTTCGCCGTTGAACACGCGGAAGTAGAGGATGATGGCGCCGAAGTTGACCAAATTTGCGAGAAATATGAAAATACAAGCGGATTTGTGTATCTGAAATCCGCATGTTGGATTATAATTCATTTTTTGTAGAAGGGATTTGAAAATTGCATGCAACGCACCACAAATCACTACATACAACTGTTTAGAACAGCGATTGGCTCCAACTTCCGCTATCGTCTTCACGATGGAGATAGAAGTAGGCGATGATAGTGCCGAACATCACAGCCGATCCAATATTTGTTAGAACCGCGGCGCCGCCTTTGATCTGAATTTGATTAAAACCATCACAAGACCACACTTATGCCAAAAAAAATGTTGAACATTATAAGGCTTACCACTCCAGCGTGTGCAAGAACTGTTGGCAAAGCGAATGCTGAGACAACGATTCCTGTGGTGATGAAGAGCGCGAGCTCAATGCAGGCATTCGTGCCGGTCATGTCTTCTTGGAATCTTCTAGCGATCAACAATGGAACTGGTGAGAGCACGTAGAACGTTATAACGAACATTGGTGACCAAACGCTGCAAAAAAATTGAAATTTCATGATATTATTTAGTTTTTTTTTATTTTCTTTGCTTTATTTGATAAATAAAACTATTTCCTTTCTAATCAAAAAACTTTTCTGCGACCGATTTACGGTGAGTTATTCGCAGGTTATCCGTAGTATTGTACTCGAATTCCCACCGAATAGACTCAGGCAAATCGAATAAAATATTTTGAGTTTCATTGAGAAACTAACGTATCTCTATAATATTTTAGATTTTTCTCAATCAACTTTAGAACTTATTTTAAGATTTTAGAATTTATTGAGATAATTTAGAATTTGTTCAACAAATTATAGAAAATCTAATAAGATTTTAAAAAATATTTTTACGTTTAGCGATTCTCAATAAGTTTTAGAAAGTATCAATAAACTTTAGATTTTATTCAAAATATTTTAGAGTTTATTATTGAATATTTGATTTTCAAAATATTTTATTTGATTTGCCTGAGAATTGAAATTTGAATTACAATTAGTCAAGATGTTCGTTTTAGGCGATGGTAATAACAACATTTAAACACAAAGCATTGAGCGAAAAATTAGAGTTTATTAGAGTACAATTCTTTCAATCAAATAATTAAAATTATACTGCCAAAAAAATTTAGGCGCGTTGTGGTTTGCTTACAGTTTTTGGTCCTAATTTTTGGTGGTACTACAAGGATAACTAAAAATGACGATAATGAGAGATTTCTGGAGTAACCACAGTGACCGCATGAGCGCCATTTTTTCAAACATTAAATAAACAAGCACTCACCCGTACATAGGCAGCGCGCATCCCAATACCAGAAATGTAAGTCCAACAACTCCAGAAAAGGCAAGAGCCGCTACTGCTAAAATCGGAGACTTCGAAAAAGAACAACAACAATCACAATCGATATAAAGATATCCTATATAAAACCCCATTTCGTAGAAATGTCTTATTTTCTAACGTATAAATAATATTTTCACGTACCTCGAACTCCTCCCATTATTGATGTTTCTGAAAAATACTTAATTGATGACGAAAAGAGAGTTTAGTTGAATGATTTAAGCGAAGAAAACATGATTTACACTCACAAAAAAAATAAAGTTCATATTTGGCGTAGCGGTGTTTGCAGACTTGCGCACCGTATCTTACGAAAATATTGTTTTCGAATTAATTTCTTCATTTTTTTTGTTTGTCTTGTCTATTTTGTTTTTCCTTTTTTTCATTGTTTTTACAATGCATAGAAATTTAATTTTTAATTTTAGAAAATGAATCCAATTACAAACATCAAGAATCAGAATCGAATGAACGAGCGCGAGCTCCAACTCGGCTACGCTGGTAGTCAAGGCAAATCGTGGCATCAAGTGTACAAGGATTCGGCGTGGATATTTATTGGAGGGCTTTCGTATGATTTGACGGAAGGTGATATCATCGCAGTTTTTTCACAGTACGTTGAATTTGGTCAAAATTCGTTAAGTGAGTGAAAACATTTATTGCAGATATGGTGAAGTCATGAACATTAACTTAGTTAGGGACCAGAAAACAGGAAAATCCAAAGGTTTTTGTTTTCTTTGCTATCAAGATCAAAGAAGTACGGTGCTGGCAGTTGATAATTTCAATGGAATCACGGTGATAAGCTATAAAATGTGCGAAAAATTTAAACTAAATTTTTTAGCTATGTAAAAGAATTATTCGTGTGGATCATGTGGAAGAATACAGAGTTCCGAAGTATAGAGAAGATGCTGATGAGGAAACGAAGCGGCTATGGGAAGAAGGATGTGCTCCGAAGCCGATTAAGAGAACGGTTGAGCCTATCGAAGTTCAAGAAGAGCGTATCAAAAAGGCAAAGGAAGAATTGTTGGCGATCGGAGTAAGAATAGTTTATTTGTTTTCTGAAATTCATAGAAATTTGAAGGATATTGATGAGGAATTGATCAAGAAGATGAAGAAAGACAAAAAGAAGGCCAAAAAAGAGAAGAAAAGGGAAAAGAAGAGAGAGAAGAAACTCAAAAAATTGGAAAAATTGGCAAGATTGGATCCCGAAGGAGATTGGAAGTCAAAGCAAAAGCTTTACGACAGTATTGTCAAGGTAAATTCTTTCTTGATCTTCTCTATTAATTTGATTACTGTAAAGGAAGAAGATCTGTACGGTGCCAACAAGCATTTCGACTTTGGCAAAAAGTACGAGACGGTGGAGAACAAATACAATCCGCGTCCCGATTTCGAAAAGGCCGATTGGCGAGATATCGAAATCTGGAAGGTGGCTCGAGAACGAGAGAAAGCCGAAAAAGCGGCTCGCGGAGAAAGTACAGAAGCTTGGGGTCCCGAGGAACATTACGTCTCCAAGCGCTACCAATCAAAATGAAACTATTATAACGGGTATCATTGCGTGTAATAAATTTATTCATTTTTTCGCAAAAAAAGAACATGTGTGTTTGTTCAAACGCCTTTAATAACCGGCATGTGATGGAATCGGCTCGAATGGGCGTGCATTTTGTGCCAACACGGCTCACAATAGTACTGGAAACATTCAAGCGACGGGCAGAAATATGGAGCATGTTGTCGATGGTATCGTCCACTGCACTCCTCGCACGATTGATTGTGGAAAAAGTAGGGTTTGATCTCAACCTGAAGAACCTGAGCATCAACCGAATCACGTAGACAACTCATTTTCGCCTACCCGTTTGTGGATATCCTCGTGATCCAGAACAATGTAGCGATCGGTGATCGCTTGCACATAGGCCTCATAATTCGAGAAAGCGACGCGTCCCGACCCTCGCGGATATTTGAATTTGTTGTCAATGTCGATGCCGACGCAAACGACATGTCCGTAAGTCTGCTCGAAGAAGTGTGCTAGTTCGACGGCTTTCAGAGGTCTTGGAACACCGCCGATGAACGCTACCAATTTGGTATTGATCGGAACGTTGAAATCCATTAGGAATTCGGCGTCGGCAAGAAGCCACGGACGAATTTGGACTCTCTGGAAGATTTTGGATTCAATGGTTTCATTCCAAGGTTATTACGCACCACACTATCTTGACTTGAGCAATCCTCCAACGTCATGAACAGGCCTTCTTCCTCCTCAATGCATTCGGCGACCAATTCGCGAACTGATCGCTCTTTTTCGAACAACAAAAACACATAGCCAAGATGCTGTTGGCGTGGACGTTCGCGTTGATGATTCATGTACTCCCATTGATTGTTCTGACTGACGCTGTCCATGGCAGTCGATGGAGTTATGAACGGATTGATTTGACCGAATGGTGGCGAGAGAGAGGCAAGATGCGAAAGGCCCGGTTTTTGCGGAGGCTCAGAGTTGTGATGCATCATCGGATCCGAATCCGATTTCGATGAGCAGTGTTTGCTTGGCCAGTCGACTTGAAGACGGCCGAAGCGTGAGAAGAATGTGAGAATCTGAACAAATCGGTGGTTCCGCAATTTTCAGAGTGCTCCGTTCACCTTGCACTCTGTGACACATGCTGGCAAACCTCCAACAAACACTTTGCGACTGTACACTTCGGGTCCGACATTGTGATGATAGTAATATTTGGAATATCGTCCGAGACGGCGGTCAGGCTCGCGGAAGTTGGACACCACTACAGCATGTTTGCTCCTTATTCGCTGCTCATCAACGGCGGGAATTGATCGACGCAATTGATGCACCACATTGGTGATGGGGACTTGCTCGAGCTCTCGGCGAGCTTGCTCGTAGCATTCGAAGAATTTTTCGTCGAGCACATCAACAGTGCCTTCAACGAATGCTCGGATCTATTTGAAGCAAAAAAAAACCAAATTATATCGGTAGTTGGACGAATGAAGCACCTCGCTTTCCGATCGATTCTGAAAGAACTTGCGATATCCAGCGTCGCAACCATCCGACGATTCGATCGACGCGGCGCCCGAATCTTTTTGCGTCGATTTCCCATCATCCGAACACTTGTCAGTTTTGTTGAAGCGCGACGCGAACGAGCCGTCTTTACCCGAATCCTGCGATGATTCCGAGCTCGTCTTTGAATGAAATGTGATAAACGATGTGATCGAATAACGATCGCCTACCCGCAATTTCGAGGCCGCCTCCGCCGAGTTGTCGTCGAATTTGTGATGACGTCCAAACGCGTACAAATAGTTTCCATTTGTCTGATTCCGATTATTGCAAGGATTACCATCAACATTTTCTAAAATAAAAATTGGTAGGCTATTTTTCGAACAATATTAAGCGCCATTTTTCTAATTTATCCAAATATTTGAAATAATCATTCAATGAGTAATTCCGTTAAAGGTTTCTAGAGTATTGTTAGCTATTTTCAACCCGAGCCAAAGTCAAATTAGTTCGGATATTCAGTTTTCAAACGAACAAATTACTTACCATCGCAAGAATGAAATTCTTCAGCTGAATTCTTCTTGAAATCCTCATCAATTTTTCCATCCTCATTCATAATTTCGTTTTTCAGCGATTCTGCGAGTTTATCCTTTTCCGCGTCCTCGTTTCGTCGAATCTTGTCGCCTCCATCATTATCGCGAATATTCTCATCAGCCTCTTCATACTCCTCTTCGTCGTCGTCTTCTTCCTCCTCGATTTTACCATCTTCATCACTCTTCGGCGCGGGTTTCTCGTCGAGACTGTCTCCGTTACCCCAAAAGTCATCGTCGCCCATTATAGTTAGAAAAACTCTTTTCGATTTCGACATCTGCAATTCCGATGAGATATGGAGAATCGCTTCTATTACCTTTGGCTTTTTTTTTTGTCTGAGCGTTACCAAACAAATAATTATCAGAAACTGAATGGCTTTCGAAATTGATTTTCGCGAAAAAGTTCACGTGGATTATTTTTTGAGATATTTTGAGAGAAAAAATAATTATTTCGTATTGAAATATCATAATAAACCCAAATTTCAAACCAAATTATATATTTGAAATCTAATAGTGATGAATGCGGGCAATTCGGCTATCCGATTCGAACTCACACCTTTGATTTTTTAGCCGCTGCGTTACCAAACAGTTATTACTTGAAAATAACGGCATTTCTACTAAAAGATTGTTTTTTTTTTAAATTTAATGTCGTCACGTAACATATTCAAATAAGTCGAAATGGCTTCCTGAAAATCGTTACAGGCGATTTCAGATTTTCTCCATCTACACAAGCTTCGACTACTTCCATCGTGTCAGACGAAGCCGTGAAAATATTATTGTTTTTTTGGTTGTTTTCATAACACTGTATTCCAAACAAGCGTGAGAACTGTCTACTGTCGGTCGCCGTCTTCCGTTTTCTTACATTCGGAATAACTTCTGCGAATGGATCAATTAATTAATTTTTTCTGGATCAATTAAATAATTTGATACCGTCTTTCTAAATCTACTTTTGAGATTGGAAATTACAATTATTCCTTTATATGCAGACAGATATTAGTTTGATTATTATCAATGTTTAGCTATCCAGACACTTTGTAATTTTTAATTGATAGATAAACAGCAAACAGCATTCTAACAAATAATAAATATTTTTGTTTTTTTCTTTGCAGTAATTTCAAAAATAATAACACGGAATACAGTATGGCGACTCCGCCCCTTCCGGTACACTCCGCCCATTTCGATAGACTCCTCCTCTTTGTATAAAAGACGAGTTGTTGGCACATTTCCTCATTCTGTCTATCAAGATGAACCGCAACCTTCTCATTGCTCTCATCGTCTTCACCATCATCGCCAGCTTCTGCTACTCGCGTAAGCCTGATTATTTGTGTGCAATGATAGAATTGAGTTTTCAGAGAACTCGTCCCAAAAAGTGGATATCTACGACATCTTCTCGGATGCTCCTTTGATGTACACGTCGAATTCGACGGAAGCACCGTCGTCGGAGGCGACTCCTCCAATCCTTTGTGTGTTCTTCCGCAACCGCATCCATTACGCGATGGCCAAAGTTGCATGCGTCATCTTCCTCGTTTCGGCATTTTCCACCATCTGCTGGTGGCGAATGAATAACTAACAAATGATACCATCTCACTTTTGTTGAATAAATGTTTTCTTGGATTTATTTACAAATCTAAAAAACAAAATGGAAAAGCCGACATCACGGATGATTTAAATCGTTGGCGACATTTGAGAATGCTTCTCGACGGATCCACAATTGTTCAGATTCTACCCAAGAAATGTGGTGTCTTCAATTTGGCGAAATCGATGAATATGAAAGGCGCGTGCGCTGAATGCAAATTACGCCGTCATACGTTTTGTTGCTTCGAGGCACCTTGGCACATTTCCAGTATATAGTCAGGCGACTGCTGTACGCGGGTTGATTTACGCGCATGCGCCTTGAAAAGGTCTCACCACGCGTGAATGCTTATTTTGCTGTTTTCACGTGAACTGCTTCATTTGTTTGATGAGTTTCGCATTTCCTTGAATTTCCAACATCATTCGATTAAAAAATAATCGAACCGGTCCTTAAAATTTGAAGTAACCTGTTAGTCCGTACGAGACCATTTCGAAAGACGCATTCTCGTAAATCTACGTGCGTATAGCAGCCGCCAGACGCCGAATATATATTTCTTTAATTTCGATGAGCCGTTTGACGTCGATTATGCACACACACTAAAAATTGCATTCCTTGATTGTTTTCAATACGTCTATTCCAGTTTTCTTGAGTAAACGAAATTAATTTGGTAATATTCATTATTAGTTGAACAAATTTTTTTTTAATTTCTAAAACCTTTTACAAATGTTACAAATTGCAATTAAATAAAATTTAGATGGCATTCGCACGAACTATTCTGTTCTTCTGCAATCCAGATTGTTAGATCCAATCTTAAAAGGGAACTTGTGAAATTTTCGACCCATCAAGTAGCATTCTCAAATGTCAGATCTCTCTCCGTGCTCGTTTAAATTGTGCCAACAATTTCCATCATCCGTGATGTCGTCTTTCCTTTTTTTTGAGTATTGTCAATAAATCAACGAAAATATTTATTCAACAAGGTAAGACAATATCAATTGATTGTACTTCTTTTGCCACCAGCAGATGAAGGGAACTAAAGAAACGAGAAAGATGGCGCAGGCAGCGGAAATCACGCAATCAATGCGGTTGGTGAAGAACACGCGCAGGTTTGATGGAGTCGTCTCCGTCGACGGTGCTTCGATCGACGTCGCCTCCGTCGACGGTGCTTCGATCGACGTCGCCTCCGTCGTCGGTGCTTCGATCGACGTCGCCTCCGACGACGGTGCTTCCGTCGAATTCGACGTGTACATCAAAGGAGCATCCGAGAAGATGTCGTAGATATCCACTTTTTGGGACGAGTTCTCTGAAAACTCAATTCTATCATTGCACACAAATAATCAGGCTTACGCGAGTAGCAGAAGCTGGCGATGATGGTGAAGACGATGAGAGCAATGAGAAGGTTGCGGTTCATCTTGATAGACAGAATGAGGAAATGTGCCAACAACTCGTCTTTTATACAAAGAGGAGGAGTCTATCGAAATGGGCGGAGTCTACCGGAAGGGGCGGAGTCGCCATACTGTATTCCGTGTTATTATTTTTGAAATTACTGCAAAGAAAAAAAACAAAAATATTTATTATTTGTTAGAATGATGTCTGCTGTCTGCTGTTTATCTATCAATTAAAAATTACAAAATGTCTGGATAACGGAATTTTTCGCAAAACATTTACGGAAAATTATTTTTGAAGCACAATTATAATTAATGTTGCAAACTGTCGCTCGGCTAAAATTTACTAGTGAATGTAAAAGTCTCGAATTACCGATTGGGCAAAACTTGCAGGGAATCAGATCGAATTCAATCGCTAATGAGATAATTCATATTTCATTTTTTTGAAAGTTGTTGGAGTTTGATTTACCACAGGAGATAGTAGAATCGGCGGCGAATACGATACATTGCGCGAATTGGCGAAATGCCGGACTCCACACTTATGTTGCGAGACCCAGTTCTACAGTAGACCGTGCCATCCGCTGCCATATATGTTCTTACTCACCTGCAAAATATATGGTTTTTTGAAAGGGAATCTCTGCCAGTACTTTTTCGGAAAACCATCAAACAGTCAAATAAGAAATTTCACACAGGAAACACTCAAAAATCGGTTAATAAGATTCTTGCCATCCGTTTTTATTTCCGGAATTTCCGACATGCATTCTGCGGTCTGTTTCTCACATTTCGTTGTTATTTGCTTCAATGACCTTTCCATATAAGGTTTCGACCTGCTGCGCACCACCTCCAATTATATTCTCCCTCTACGTGCCTCGCCTCTCCTCCCCCACTTCCGTTGCTCCAAGCAACACACGGCCATCGATTCCGTTCGTGTCTCATTTCTTGCATGCAGCAAATGAGCGACGCGCTGAGCTCAAGCCTCTGCCAACTCAACTGGCTGATTGCCAAGAGCGGAGCTGGAGCACCTCATGCGGTAAGGCTCATCCGATAATCGGCTAAAATTTCGACTTGTTCGTTTTTTTAAGAGTCCAACTGTTTCAAATCCACCGTCGGAGGTGATACAAAAGAAGCATCGACCGCGAAAATTTTGGGGTCGCGATGAGAAGCCGCCATTCTCATACTCGCAATTAATACGAATGGCCATCGAGAATCAACCGGATAAAAAGTACGCGTTTTTCGAATTTGAAACATTTTTCAGAAATTGAAAATGTCTTTAGGATCGCGCTCAGCGAAATTTACGAATACATAATGGAGCAATTTCCGTTTTACAAAGAGTGCCGAAATTCGAGTTGGAAGGTTTGTTATCAATTTTTTTTCTCATTTCCCTAGAAATACGTGAGTTGCTTTAAACAAAATGCCGATTTTCCCAATCCAATCTCTCGATTTTCGTTTGTGTTTTGATTTTTCCCAGACGCAAATGCGAGAAAAAAAACCCGACAGAGCAGATGAATTTATGCAAAAATTGTTTAGGCGCTGTCTGAAAATTCGAAAAAAATTTGTTTTTTTCTTCAAAGATTCCCCCGGAGAATTAAAATTTTAATGATTCATTATATTAATTTAAAAAATATGGAAAATATCATGTGATGAACTTATTTTGATCAAAAACAAAATAATACAGAGATTTTCAGAAGATAAGTTTTCCTATAAAATTTGTTTTGATAGCAAATCGAAGAATACTACTTATTAATCCAGGTGAATTTCGTTCGTTGGATATGAAATTTATAAATTGAATTATAAAGCAGAAAAGTTTGCTCCTGAAGCAAAATTAAATCACATGGAATTCGTGGAACAACATTTTCCCACCAAGATCTTGACTGAACATTGAATTCACCATTGCTAATTGTTTACCACCTCGTGGAAATTCGCGCAGAGTTTCAGCTGACTCGAATTAGAAACTGCGAAAGTTGGCGAAAGGTCTGCGTAGTATTTCAGAAGAATTTTCGCAATTTCTAATAAAAGCCTGCTGAAAGTCTGCGCGAATTTCTCGAGATTCTCAAAGTTTAGACTTTGACGTAAACGAAACCTGTAATTAGATTATTTGAATGCTCAACAAAAAAAACAAAAGTCTATTTCAGAATTCGATTCGTCATAATCTCTCACTCAACAAACAATTCCAAAGGCTTGAGAAAATCCAAGGGAAAAAGGGTAGCTATTGGACATGCGTTGCTCCGCCTGAGAAGAAGCCAAAGATTCTCGAAGGATCGCCTCCAAGGATAAATCCTGCAATTGAGAAATTACTCAATATAAAGCCCAAAAAAGACACGGGACCCGCAACGCCAGTTTCCGATTTGGAATGTGCTGTTGTTGTCGAGGATCGATATCTTACGGTGTGTACAAATTGTTCTGATCCAACACAAACATTTATTTTCAGAACGATGAGATCGCTGAGCTGAATCTTTTCGATTCCTGCAATCTCAATCAATCTTTCAAAGTCGTCTACGATCAAATTTATCAAAAGGATCTCAATAAGGATCATCAAAATTCCGATATCGATTGGCATCGAATAAGTGTTGAAACCGCACAAACCGGAACACTGATCTCGGAAGCCGTTGAGGAGGAGGACGAGTTCGACTGGAATTTGATTCTTTAGTTACGTGTTAAGCCGATGTCTGGTACAATCATTTTGTGATATTTTACTGTGTAGAATCCCAATATAACAATAAAATCAACAAAAAAACAACTCAACAATGATTCAAAACAATTATTTGGATATTCGCTCGAAAACCGCTACAAAGAATCCATTGGTTAATGTCACATTCGGATCAGCACGAAGGCAATATTCGCCGATTTCATATGAGCTTAATCCTCGATGCGTCCACGCCGGTAACACATTTTTCTTCAAGACAAAGTTCAGTCGCACATAAGTGTCGAGAAGGACTTCATCTACCACCTGCAAACTAGGAAAAAATTGAAAACCTCTGAAGAGACTCTGAAATAACCTGCTCATTTTCCTCTTCATGAACTGAACACGTCGAGTAGACAGCTCTTTTGAGATGCGGGAACTTCAACGCGTGCTTCAGAATCATCGCTTGCAGATTTTTGAGTTTTTCAAGTCGTTCTTTTTCAGCGTTTCCGCCAGTGATCTCGTCCAGTCTTTTAACAATTCCGGATCCCGAGCACGGCGGATCCACAAGTGCATATTCTACCTGAAACACACCAGTTTCTGTGTGGACGGTCAAAAGTTGAACATACTTTTGCGAATTTCTTATCTGCGACGTCCGTCTTGAGAAAATCCCCACAAAAACTGCTAACAATATTGGCATTCGACGAGGCAAGAAGCGTTTTCATCGTCGCCACCCGATCCGGCACGCGATCCATCGCCCACACCTTGCCTTGATTCTCCATTATCGCTGCCGCATGACTTGTTTTCATTCCAGGTGCCGCGCAAGTGTCGAAAACCTGCGATCCGGGCTTCGGATCGAGCAAAAACGCTGGTAAACACGATGCCTAGAATTGTAGTGCATATTTTGAATTCCTAAAAAGGATTGTTCGATCCAACCTTATCTTGCAAAATGATATATCGCTCTTCTACCATCCAATATTCATGGAAATTCTGAATTTTCGGAGGAAAAATTAGCAAATTCTCAACGTGCGGATCAACGAAAACTTCGTCTTCTTGCATACTCGACACCTCTTCGGCATACTTTTCAAGATTCACAATTTCTTTGATCTGAAATGTTTCAAATGAAGGTTTAAACAGAAAATTGTTAAAATACCTTCCAACTATCAGTTTTCAAGGCTTCCAACGCTTCATCGTGTGTCCATTTAAGAGTATTTATTCTAGCGTATCGTGGAATCTCAATTTTCTTCTCATTCGCCTTATTACCCGCATCTTTGATTGCTTGAATTCCTCGATTCTCTTTGGCCAATTCGGCTTCCTTTTTTATCTTATTTTTTTCAATATTCGGTACACACTTACGGCTTCTTTCATTAAGCTAATCCTTTTGGTAATGACACTTTTAAGCTCTTGCGAACATCGATTCAATCCTGATCCGACCATCGCTTCGTACATTAAAACGAACACAAGTTCGATACTTCCACCGACATTCACGTCATTCTTTGTTCGTTTTAAGTCTTTTGTCTAAATATTAAAAAGTTATCGACGATAATTCAATTTTATCTAAACCAGTATGCATTGGGTTTCACAATCGTCATATCAAAATTAGTATTTATGCAGATACAATGCAGATACCGTAACAGTTTGATCAATTAAAAAAATTGGATTACCTGGAGAATTTCTTCGAACACTGGCTTAAACCTCATCGTTTCACATGATAATCGAAGAAGTGCCTTTTTGTTCTGAAAATTTGTAGAATTCTTGGGTATTTTTTTTCAAATAATCATACACCAATTAAAAATCGTATTCTTTATTTATAACAAAAGTCAACAATTAACAAGTGTTTGGCTTGAGAAATTTGCCTTGAATCCATTGCCTATACATTTTAACTTGTTTCAAACGATTAACAATTAGTCGTCGATCCACATGCATCACTTTTTTTTCCATTTTCTCCTTGGCAAAAATCTCTTCGAGCTCTTCCATTGTGAAAAAGTAGACAAGAGTTCCATCACCTCGACAATACAAATTCTCATCGATTAATCGATCTTTCTTGAATCTCAACTGCGTCAAATCATATCTTCCATAGTCTTTGAGAAGAAGCATTCCGCCAGGTTTCAGAAGTTTAACCAGATTGGCAACAGCAGTTTGAATATGCTCAGGACGGATGGCAGAGAGCACATAAATGCACACAATATAGTCAAGAGAAGCTTCTTTCGGAGCCTCTTCCGGCGCTGGCTTTGTGATATCCCAGACAAAAGCGTTCATGTTCGATGGATTGTACTTCTTTTGCGATTTCAAGACCTGAACAGCATTTGCGGAATAATCGCAGCTGTGCAGAAATATCCTCTCATTATTATTCATTTCCATTAAAGGGAACGTGGTATTCCCAACACCGCAGCCGACTTCAAGAACATTTATAACATCTTCCTGAATGAATTTGAATAATTGCGATATTTGTTAAATTTAATAATAAAAAATTACTTGTTTATTCCTTTCATCGTTCACACTGAGTTCAGGAAACTCTTTCAGTAGCCAATGTCGATCTTTGAAGAATCGGTTCTCATTTTGGGCATAAAATGCATCCCATTGCTCCGCTGGATTACTTAAAAGCTTCATCGCCTTTTCTTCATCAACTTTCATTGACTTCTGCTTCTCGACGATCTGTTTTGCTTCGTCTTGCTGTTCTTCGCTCCATTCCACATTATCCCATGCGTTGTGCTCGAATACTTTAGACTCGTCTGTCAAAAATCGAGTCCCGAACGGATTGCATTTCGGACGCTCTTCGCTATTTTTTTCAGCACAGCCCATAATTGGAGCGTCCCGCATTATTACCCTGAATCCACTAACATCACGTAAAAATTAACGGGAAAAAGTAGGTAACGGTAATAAAATAAGAAAGAAAACATTAAAAATATAGCAGAAATTAAAAAATAAAACCAATATCAAGTTTCTTTCAAAGCAATCTCAAAAGTTATATTCAAAACTCACTTTGTAATTGCTCGCATACACTGCATTCCTCACACTTTTCTCTTTTGCCAAAACACTGCGAATAATTTCAGCTACCTCGTGATAGAGGGCATCGGTAGACATCTAGAAATTTTGAAATTAAAATATTTTCCATAAAAAGGAAAACACAGTATTCAATCGCGAGAATTGGTTTAAAAAATAATTAAAAATCGAAACTTTCCTAAAATGTATAAATTCAAAAAATTTCAAAGATTATTAAGGAATGCAGTGAATGCTTACAATTAAAAAAATTCAAAACTAAAACTAAAAATTAACATTCGACTTTTTGTGGGTGGTAAGGTTAAAAATTATTAAATTTGGAAAAATTATACAAAAGAAAAAATGGTGGTTCCTTTTTGCGTAGGATCTGATGCAAGTCTGTACTCACCGACCATTCCGCGAGAATAAAATTTTCTGAAATTTAAATTAATTTTCTCATTAAAACCTTAAATTCTAGATATAAAATGGCTCACAAGCGTAAAGGAAAGAAAGATGCCGATATTACGCGTATGACGGATGAGGAAATTCGAATAATGGAAGAGCATGTGGAAGAAATACTATCATCACAGTTGCCCATGGGCAGAGTAAAGAAAGTTTGCCGATTGGACCCTGATATCGAAATGATTAATGGAGAAGCATTGAAGTTAATGACAAAAGCAGCGGTAAGAAAAAATTATTTGAAGGAGAAATATCGATTGTGCAGGAATTGTTCATTGTCGAGCTCGGAAGAGCAGCAAACACAAACGCAGCGATGGAAAAACGGAAAACTGTTCAATTGAAAGACATCAGTAATTGTTTTTGTTAAATCTGTTTTAAATTTCTACATTTTCAGACAATTGTATTAAAAAACAATGGACATTCGCATTCTTAGAAGATGCTTTGGACGATTGGCCGAAACCCGAAACCAAAAAACGAAAAGCTCAAGGAGAGACGACAGTTCTTGAAGAAACTTTGAATGGGGATGGTGAAGAAGAGGACGCTGAAGACGTCGTCGAAGATTCTCAGGAGAATGTGGTACGTTGAAATCCACGAGAATTGGTGGTATCCAAAATTGCAGGTCGATGATAGCCAAGAGCCGGATGAGACGGTACCAGATTCTCAAGAAGGCGCGGAACAACCTGAAAAGGTCGATAGATTCGCCGGACAATTCTGAAGTTCGATTTGTATATAAATCATTTTTCATTAAAACATAAGAAACAAGAGAATACGTCTAATAATGAATATCACAATAGAAAATCAACTAAAAAAAGAGGAAAAGGACTCGTAATCAAATGTGGGTTGGGGGAGGGGATGAAAAGAAGGAGAAACTGAAACATTAATTAAAAATTTGTAGTACATCGAAATTATTTGCAATTTTTTGTGTGTCACCGCTTATTTTTTACGTTTTGCATCAATTTTCTCATTTTTGAATTAAAATCAAGGTGAAAAACGAAGATCATGGCACAACAACAAGGGAATTGTTGCATTTTCAAGTATTATCATTATTATTATTATTATTATTCCTTCTTCGGCTTTTTCACCAAGTAAGCATTGTTGAAGAAGCTTGAGAATAGCACCAAGAACGACGCGTAAATTGCGAAGCTTAGGGCAAGATTGTCATAGGATTGCTGGCAAACCTAAAACAATTTGAATAATGCAAAACGTATGAAGGAAACGAACCTGTCCGTTCAATTTGAGAATCAAAACTATCACCGAAATTCCAACTCCGATCAACATTTGAACAGTTTGAAGGGCAGTTACAGTCCTAAATATCGCTTTTTTTTTTCGCAACATTCCCCTTTAAGACAAGCTTCTTACATTGAGATTATCTTCGGAAGTCGATATCCAACGCTGGTAATCGCGTAATAAGTGTACATGATCGAGTGAACGAAATAATTCATGAAAATGAACCATCTTCCAGCGGCAGTCAATTCGACGGCTGAAAAAAAACGTAGACGATTGAAAAATCAAGATCAGAAATCAGTTTTGAAGACAATTTTACGATAATCTTGTGAGAATTTTCAACGGTGGGAAAGTATGCAAAATGTGATTACGAAGAATCGTTGAAGTTTGATGGGCGGCCAATGCATGCGCCTTTGAATTGGTCTTGGCAAGAATGCAGTCAGTTTTTGATATAGCTGCATTTTTAACTGGCTTAAAGCCAAATATTTATATACTAGTTAATATCCGAACTATCAACTTGACCCCGATTTTATAAATAGCAATTGTCTAGGCTTTGGCAAGGTTCTTTTTATGTAGGCAATTGCCAACATCGATCATAACACAAGACGTTCGCAAATCCGGTTCTGCTGGATATTTCAAGCATATCACCATCCAACGAACCCTAATATTAAGGGCATTAAATAAGGAGGGAAAACCGGAAATTTGGCATCTTGAGGGTAAATCATTCTATGAATTGATCCAAACCGGTTCTCGCGCCGCTTCTGTGATGGCGGAGTTGCATAATGATCATGATGACTGGCTAGATCAAAATCCGCGCGTCGCCACCGCAATTCTGCCCCCGGTTTTCACACAGTTTCTCCGTCAAAAAGTGACCCGTCCGCGAAAAGTTTTTTTTCCGTCGCCGCGAGGCATTGTGTATAAAACACACGCATATATTTGTACAGAGTGCGCGTATGTATTGTTTGTACAGTGCTGTCCGTCGGCTGCTGATGCCGCTACCGTTGCCGTTCTTCTGTCTGCTGTGCGCCGCTCGCTACTAGTTCCACTTCCCATTGGATTGACGGGCAGAAAGGAACTTGGTTGTTTTCGCACTTCGAAATAAACACAATCTAACTATTTTTTTAAATCCTATCTAGTTTAATTGCGATAATTGATCGCAAAGCAAATAATATTTGTTGACGGAGTTCAACAGTCAGAAATTACGTGCCAATATGCGATATATCATGCCGATGGCTTATTTGACATGAAATTCAAACATGGAATTGTAAAGAAACTATTCTATTCTATTTGTTTGCTCACGTACTTCGGGGAAGCCATGACGAACTCGAGAGTTTGTGAATCCAATTTCAAAAGCGAAATTTTATGATGAACAAGTTCATGAAATGTGCTTTTTACAAAAAAAAAATGTAAAAATTACATTAAGCGTACATTGTTTAAACCAGCATTGGAAAAATGTGTAATTAAAAAAATTATTTCATAAATCCATTATAGACTGGGGTTTCTATCTTTGCTCGAAACAATCATAATGAAAATTTTGTTTCATTTTTGATTTTTCCACTTTACCGAAGCCGCCAATCAATTCAACATAAAAAATTCCGCGAAAAGACAAGTTTGACGTTTCATTTTGGTTTTTGTAGCCCGAGAAAATGTTTACTTCCAAACTACACTGATCAGATCAAATGATAGTGCGCGAGAAAAGAACTTACCAGCGTGCCATGATAGTACCAAGACGACAGCATGATGATACCAATGAAGGAAGATGACGGGTCGTTTGCGAAGGACCAAGAATAACGTGTCCCCGAATTCGGCAATCTTTGACATCGCGAACATACAAGCCCAGAAAGCGGCTGGTTGGTGAGGGTCCACTGAGAAGCAGATTGAATCCACCAACCCTCTGAAAATCATTGCTTTCAAGAGAATCCATGAGGCGCCGAAGATTGTACCGTCGGAACACAGCGTTGTAGAATTCGATGCCGAATCGCCAAGTTCCGAAGATGCTGAATATCGCCAACGCGCCATTCCACACCAGCAATATCGGTCGCATACTGCAATTAACACCATTTTTCATTTCAAAGCGTTTGCCCGGATTCTCGTGGCAATTCAATTTGATCGAACGACCACACTTGATGTCTGCCGACTGGTTTCGAATGGTTATTCGATGATTTTGCACCTTTAAATCGAAATGGGCTGTGTCGGAAAGAAGCGAAAATCGCACCAAAATGCATACACTCGATCAGAGCGCCTTCGTAGTGTTCAATGAACAAGATTTTTGTAGAATGTCCAACCTGTAGGGTTTTCTCGACTCCATGAATTTTTGGAGCACATTCGTCACAATTATGTAACCAAGTGCCAAATATATCGATTTCGCCCAATGATTTTTGAAGAATGTGTGCATTGTGAGATCATCCCAATACTCTTCGAATGGCAGCCACCCATCGTATTTGTATGGCGAGTAGAGGATTGTCTCACCATTTCCTGTCCACACCTCGTACGGCTGGGCGCGCGCCATCTAAAAGTTAAAATTGTTGAATAGAATGAAGTATTAGAAAAATGAAAATGATATAAGAAATTATGCTAATCGATTGATAAGGCGATCTGTGTGATAAGGGTGCAAAGGACGTGGGTCCCGAACTTTTGGGTCGCGTTATCAGGCTCTGAAGGCAGACGATAGTTTGTTGAATCAGCAATTTATTGCATTTTAAAAGAAAAATGATTAGAACAGAAAATTGAGGAGAAATGGGCACAAAATTGCAAATTTCAGACTTTGACGTGGAAACATGGTGTGAACACTCTCACGCATTATTGCAGACTTTTACTGATTGAAAAATACACGGAATGTTTCTTTTTTTGGAAACCTTCGAGATATCTAAACTGCCAATAAAAAATTGGAGAGAAAAGGGAAACGGGAGGGCTATCAACAAACACGATTAGGAACCGGTTGATGATTACGCAAAATTTGTGGAACAGTGGCGCAATCATCTCCGAATTAGCTTTATACCATATGCTTGATGATAACGAAAACAGAAAGAGAAAAAATCGTGTCCTTTTATTCATGCCGGCTAATAGAAATAAGGGATTTCAAAACAATCACGAGAAAAATCGAAAAATTTAAGAAATGTTATACTTTTCACAAAAATAATACGAAAGTCTGTAAAGTTGATGACGTAAATGTACGGAATTTCTAATTTACAGTAATTATTTTGAGAACAGAATTGATGGCTTCTTGTAATTTTTAAGGTGTAAAAAGTTTATTGTTTCTAATAGAAACAAGGGTTCACTTTTTCTGCAATCACTAGACTATTTTCACTGAAAACCGTTTTCAATCCCAAACGAGTCCAACAACCAAAAAAAGAAAGTTGGCATAAAATAAAGCGATTGATCTGTTGATCTTTAAAGGAAGAACTAATGTTGGACTGTGAACTCTGCGAAAACAAACATCTATGAAGGATTATGCGAATAAATAAAGAGAATGAAGGCATACAGTGAAAAAATTGCCCAAAATTAAACACATTTCTTGCTCATTTCACGTGGATTAAAAACCCCAAAAACAGTCAATTTGAATAAAATTATAATACTGTACAAGTATTTAATTAAAAATAATTCGGTTTGAATTTTCAATTTGAAAACTTCGTTGAAATAATTATTTTTCTACATTTCGTCTCATAATTACAAAAAATGAACATCAAAAATATGAAAAGCTTTTCTCTTCTCACAATAACACTGATTCACCGAAACTATTATCTAGGTATCAAATTGAATGAGTAGTAAAGTTTGAAATCGTTTCAAGACCAACGAAATATAATCGAAAGGTTTCGTTTACACAAAAAAAAACATTGTAGCTTATCATTGAAGACTTGAATGACATTGTCGCGGATTTTGACCATAAATGGTCGTCAAACTCCGCCCACAATTCGGTATGGCGAACCAGTTTAATCACGTAATCACACGAGAAAAAGAAGACAAGAAGGCAGCGATCAAAAATATAAAGCATAGAATGGAATTGGTTCTAGAAGCGGTATTTGTGTGCGCACGTGTGTGTGTGTGTGTGTGTGACGACGGACATTTCGTGGCTCCGCCCCTTTTTTGTCCGTTTGTTCTCGGCGCGAGTGTCGCTCGACGAAACGCGCTGCCTCGACGAGCCCTCTTCCCCCGGTGTGCACTATACTATACGCTATGTGTGGGACAAGACGGCATAAAATTATACAAATACGCAATATCGATAAAAATATTATATATTCTATATATATATATATGTATATAGTTTGTGAAAAAAAACGGCAACCATTCAGCAGTGACAACGCATTTGTGTATAATCCGATACGATTTTTAAAAGTGAATTTTTTTTGGTTTGCCTACGATTAATATTTGTTGTATAGGGCATTAAATATTTCGCATCAATCCTCATTTTTATGGGACTTCTATTTTGGTTTGAGAAATTAAATGATTCATTTGCGAATAATTTGCCGCACTTTTTGATTGCTGTCAATTGTCCGCAGCTTCATTTCGAGAAGCCTCGAAAGTTTTGCCGCATTGCTTTGCTAAATTGCTTTTTGATAAACTACAATGTTTTTTGAGAGAATTTAGAATTCTATAGAATTAAAAGGGCATTTCAAAATGTAGGATTGATGTTTGAAAATTGAAAACAACACAAATCTTCAATTAAATGATACTAACTCACTATTCTTATTATTATTATTATTATTATTATATGATTAGCGATATTCGCGTAAAGGATTAGTTTAAGAATTTTTCAGGCTTTTAGCTGAATTTCGGCTTGGACGAAATAAATTCGAAACGATTTATGAGAGATGGGTCTTATCGCGATGTGGTAAATTTTGAACGAATTGCTTACTTCTAGAGAAAAATATTTCATTTGATGACTTCGATAGGAATTTGTAAGCCAATTTCCTTTCATAGAAGAGTTGACAATATATTTTTTTTTAATTTCAAAAAATCAAATTTTCACCGAACCGCTTATAAACGTAAATTTTGAAAAATTTTGACAAAAAAAAGTTTGATCGATGCGTTATAAACACAAAATTTCATCTCGATCTGATGCTCTCATCGTAATAATGAGAGCGAGAGACGCAGACGATAAACAGAGCGCGACTTTCAAATTATTTTTTTTCTCGGCGCAAAAAAAATTGAAGAGTCTGTGAAATTTGAGGATAGGCAACTCAACTCGATAATTGTCCGCAGATGATTTCACACATTTGTGCGCTCTTTTTGTCACATTGCACATTTGATTATTTGAAAAGGAAATGAGGGAAAAAGAAAAAATGAATCTCGAATCCCGAAAAAATGGGCAAAAATGATTAATCGAATTGGTGTCAATCCTTTTCTGCCAATTTCCTTTTTCTCTCTCTCTTACACTTTCTCATAATCTACTCGCTCGACACAAAAACACAAGAAAAAAAAAACTTTTCACACAAGGAATGAGATAGACAGAAATCGGACTAGATTGTTATTTGTAGCTTGGTTTGTGTCATGTTTTCGGTGCCTACTACTATTGTTTCGATTTGGTTGCCATCGCGCGTCGTCAAGGATGATGACGAACCAAAACCAACCAAACGAAAGAATGAAACACCATAAATGGAGGAGAAGGTGTGTGTCGTCGAGAGCGTCAAAAATAATATGTTGATGCATGCTTATTGGGTGGCGCGTCGAGCGGGATAAGCTTCGAATGGGAGGGGGGAAGGTCGCGGATTTCTTCGGAGATCCTATTAGACGGCGATGAAAAAGGACAAGACCAAAGGGCTACAAAAAACTATGAGATGCTCTTTGCAATTCATATCGTCCTTAATCGCGGCAAGACCTTCTTTGAAGGATCATCATATAATTGGATTAATAAAGCAAAAATGAGATTTAGTTCATAAAATTTAGGTCGTCTCTCATTAATTTTGAGAATATGAAGAGCAATTTAAAAACAGGCATTTTCTCTTTTTTTTTTTCAGAAGAATTGGTGAATGCGCAAATGACATTCTGATCTCTCATAGCTCTCGCGAAGTTCATTTCTTCACATTTCATCGTTAAAAATGATTGTTGATTTTAGCACGAATTGAACATATTTCTGCATGCGCCTTTAACTACCCACTGTAGTTTTCAATTTATTCCACAAAAAATCAAATTGAAAGTGATTATAAGATCATGACGCTAGAATGCCAATCATAATCAACGTCGCCCCGAAATTCGTCTGTCCTTGACTATAATTAGAAGCATGCAACTTCGGCTTGTATATGTAGAACCATGAACAGTTGAATTTGGGGGCTGGTTGGTCAACGCCATCTCGTTGTTATCATTGTTGTTCTGATCTGTTGGCTACAAAAATTGAACCAGCCTTTGACCTAAATTGTTTAAATTTCCGACAGCTTCTTGTGTTCGACGTTAATATTTAGAAGTATTCATCAATAAAAAATGTTGCTAACAGATCAAAATTAAATCGTCGGCATTCAACATAATTTCCGTACTCCTTTTTTTTCATTTTACACTTTGCTTTGCGCGGACACTTCTCCAGGTAAATCGACACAAGGGAGGTCATTTAAGGGGTCGTTGACGATTTTTCTTAAAATTTTCTCAAATAATCTTCGATTAGAATGCTTATTTTCTACTTGCACGCGGGCGTTCAAAAACCATCAAAAGACGAGAATAAACTCTGGATATGAAATAGCGTATTCAAAAATGTAAGGATGTGCGAAATTTACACAGAGGATCGAGCCAAATTTCAGTTCGAAAATTTTCAGACATCGGGGAATCTCTAATAAGAGAAAAATCGCCAATGGCCACCTGAATGAGCTCGTTCGTTTAAAATAAGAACATTTCCAATATGATAATCCTCCTCAAAAATTGCTTTATTTATTCAGTAATCAAAAACAATCTGTTGAATTATGCATTTTTTTCCGAATAAGGATACTAAATCTACTAATTTTTTAAAATTTAGTTCTGGATTTTTTTGAGATTCTTTTCACATAACAATTCCATTCTGGACTTCGAGAAGAGCATTAGCCGACGCATGCAATTTGGCGATCTCGGCATCGGTCAAATTCTGTTTCACAATATGGGTGATTCCGTTGGATCCGAGAACGACTGGAAGTGAAAGGTAGACGTCGTCAGTGACTCCGTGGATTCCCTGAAAGGATCAAGCGATTGTTTGAAAGCGTCGAGGGCATACCTTGACATTGGTTGACAAGGCGTAGACGTTTCTCGAGTTGCTGAAAATGCCTTGAGCGATCTTGGCAACCGACAATCCGATAGCCCACGAGGTGTATCCCTTCAGTTTGATGATCTCATAAGCGCTGAAAATCATCCATTCCAATCTTCTTCTTTGCTTCACATTGATTCATTTTACCTGTCAACGACTTTGCGATGGATCTCACTCTCCCAGTGCTCAGAATCCTGCTTCTCTCCAATGTGTGGATTGACGTCGTGGAGTGTGACTCCAGCGACGTTGACTCCCGACCAGACGGCGACACTCGAGTCACCATGCTCACCAATAATCCAACCGTGGCACGACGACGGAGCGATGTTGAGCTTCTCGGAGAGCAAGAAGCGGAAGCGAGCCGAATCGAGATTGGTTCCCGATCCGAAGACGCGCTCCTGCGGCAATCCCGACAATTTCCATGTGACGTAGGTCAAAACGTCTACCGGATTCGAGACGACCATGATGCAGGTGTCCGGCGAGTACTTGACAAGCTGCGGGATGATTCCCTTGAAGATCTCGACGTTGCGTTGGACGAGCGACAAACGAGTCTCGCCTTCGCGTTGACGCGCTCCGGCGGTCACGACGCACAGCTTTGAGCCAGCGGTGATCGAGTAATCTGAAAAACCGATGCCATCGTTCCAAATCGTTATCGCCGATTACCAGTGTCAGCTTTGACGGTGCAATGCCGGGTGAAGGCCAATCCATGCTGCAAGTCCATCATTTCACCCTTGAGCTTGTCGGCGACAACATCGACGAGGCAGATCTCGTTGGCGATGTTCTGCTGGAGGATCGAGTAGGCGCACGCCATGCCGACTTGTCCGACACCGACGACAGTCACTTTGCCGTGACCGCCTTCGGCCGGCTTCGAGATCTCGTGGAACATCTCCTTGATAGTGGTTGCCATTCTAAAATAAACCAATGCAAGCAATATTCCAACATTTCCGTCTAGCGAAACAAAAAAAAATCTACTTTTAACATCGATCATCAAACAATAATTGTCCGCAGATGAATTTTTGTAAGAGCGATGAAAACGGAAGAAAGAAATTTTGTTATAAATTTGCTTAAATTTTCCAATTGAATTGAAAAAAAAAAAAAACAAAAAACACAATTTCAACGAGAAAATCGATGGCAGACGAAAGACTAGAAGTGCGAGTAGATTTCTCAGGGTCAAGATCAAAATCACTATAGGTCAAAAATCAATTGCAAGCCGTCTGGTTTCTCAAACCGATTGGCATTTTTTGGGAAATTTTATGACGAACACGAAAAATGATGAAGTTGTTTCGCAATGTTCTCGTTTTATTTTCTGATAAACAACGAAAAAAAAATCAAACGGACGGAAAAAGGAAAAACCGAATGTGAGTGTGTGTGTGTGTGTGTTGAATTGAATGTGCGAGTGCCGTCGGGGCGTCGAAGAGAGCGCAGAGAGAATGGGCGAGAAGAAGGCCGAGAGGCGGCGGTTTGAGGAGCATCAAGTTTTGCACGTACCCATTCAATTTTCCCAGACGGACCCTCCCGGTTGTGTCCCAGCGGAGAAAATTCTAGAAGCCCCTTCGCGTCAACCAGGAACTGTTGATTGTACACGTGAACAATGGCTACAGTAACTACTCCAATGGAATTGGAGAGGTCTCGCAACGAAATGAGTTTCAGATTCCAGTTGAAGAATTTTTTATTTTAATTTTTTACCTTAATTAGTTTTTTTTAATCCTGAAAATCCACAACTACACTAGTTTAAACTTTTCGAGACCCTAGAATCCCTAAGTACCCCCAGGCCGTTCAATCCGATTATCTCAAGGGTCTAGAAATTTCGAAATAATTTAGAGCTTTTGGTTTGCATCATTCGACCCCTTCCCCCATTCAATTATTGCATCATTTCGGCTTTTCTGAAAATTTGCATCATCGCAAAAAGAGCTGAAGGAGAAAATTGTGCAAGCGCCGGAAAAATCTCATCTTCCCGTTTTTTTTTCCATCCGCTGGTTGTCGTTCTTCAGATAGAGCGACGCATTAAGCATTTACAAGACATTCCATCTGCGGACATTTTCTTATTGAAAAAAAAATCTACGACACGTTCGTCTCCGTAAAATCGATGTGGGTAAATTTACAAGAATCATAAGCATCAGCAAATGCGCTCCATTGAACATCGCTTGTTGAAATTCAAAAACTCACCGATCCATGATGTCAGAAGATTGGTTTGCAAATAGTTGAATCTGCAAAATGGAAATCGAATATTATTCTGAGCCAAAAATAACGAGGAGCGAAACGAATACGAGAAAGGAGAGGAGGAGGAGAAAACAAAAAAAAGAAAAGAAGGCTGACGTGGCCGAACATTCATAATCAAATAAAAACAACAAAGGGCACGTTTCTCGGGACAAAAGTTTGACGAAATTGAAGAGCTTGTGTGAATCAAAGTCAAAAAACGGATTTGGCTGACAGCGGGTGGAGAATGATGCAAAAAATAAATGGGGGAGGGGCGCGCGCTCTTTCGAAATATACGCCTATGCATAAGCTGCTCTCTCTCTCTCTCTCTCTCTCTCTCTTTTAGTTTCTTCTCGAATCCACAAACGAAGCTAATTATATATGGTAACGAATGACTCAAAATGAAATATGAAGCCGCCTTATTTCGAGCTTCATCTTTTTTTTTGATTGCACGTATTATATGCATTGTGTACTCAAACTGTTCAGTAAACAATCGTGCGCACCAAAAAACACAATCTCTCAATTTTTTTCAAGATTTATTCATTGCAGCCAAGATATTTCCCATTCTAATCTCATATCGACTACTGTAATCCGTCTGAAACAGTGGGATTTCCGAGGACTCATGAAGGATCAAATGATGGATCGGATAACTGCTTCCTTATTTGGAAGGAATTATCAGAAAAGAGTGTCATAGGCAACTCTGATGAGGAAATGGACTCTAGGGGAATTCCATCTGAAGCTCTTCTAAACTTAGATTCAATGTCTAATAGTAGCTACCGTAGTCTGTTAATGAACTTATTTCGTTATTATCATCTGCCATAGATACCGTAGACATGAAAAACTGGACTCTGATAATCTGACATTCGCAAAAGCGAACCGATTTCTTGGGAATTGCTAAGCGCATCTCTGATTTTCATTTTTTAGACTTGCGTCATTAATTTGTGGCAATTTTCCACAGTAAAATTCTAATTTGCGAGGTATCATTATGCCCATATGAATTTTAAGCGAATGATTTCGAAAAAAGCAAATTAAATATTTTCTTATACCAGAAGCTACGTATGAGAATAGAAAAAAGAATCCTATAAATTTTAGCAGTTTTATTTGATAATGGCAGAAGGATATTCAATCAAATAAATACTCTGTTTTAAAAGAGACACATTTTCTATATTATTCTTTTATATATGATATAATACAAATCAACTGAGAAACTGGAAAAGTTGTTAAAAATTGATGGAAAATGGAACATTCGATAGTCTGGACCATTTTTCATCCAGCTATTTTTTGCTCTTTTCCCAGTGTCAGTGTACGAGAATATTCATAATAGAATCTAAGGAGTAGAAACCAAAAAATATTTTGTTGGAGAGAGAATCGCTTCTCAATTTTTCATATGTTTTATTCGATCTGCCGACGAACACCCGGTCGCGAAAGCCAATAAAAAAAGCACATTTGAAGTTGTTCGGGAAAACAGAGAAAACGAGAAGATGACTAGCACGAAAATGAGTGTGCCGTGGTCTGCCGGCTGCCCTTTTATATGCGGATATGAGAGTCAGTTTTTTTGCATTAATCCGCCCAGATGAGAGAAACAGAGAATGGATTGTTGGCGCGGATTCGAGAACTGCACGTTTTCAGCTCGACGTTGCCATGGTGAACGGCTTCGAATCCCATGAATCAGCTTTTGTTTGTCGAAATCAAATTTGTCAAAAAAACGGATAGGTTTGAGTTCATTTTCTGGAAAATGAACGAATTTTTTGGTTGGAATCCGAATTCGATTAGAAATCCATATAAAGAAGTTGCCAAATGTATTATGGAATACACATTCGAGCCATTTCAAGAGATTTCTAATACCTGACATCTTTGATCTGATAAATATCGTCAAATTGAAAAAATGATTTCTAGTTTTTCTGAAAAAAAGTTCGATTTGAATTTCCAGCGTCTAAAAGGTTCATTTTTCTGTTTTAGTTCTGAATTTTGTAAATTCTATAAAATTCAGCTTCTTTACAATTTTAGTATTTTTAAAATGGTAATAATAATAATAATCATATCATATGCAGATTTTGGAGAACTGCTGAAAACCACAAGCATTTTTACATACGCTTCCTTTTGTCTTCCATAATTCTTCAGAAAAACAATATTTTGGAAAAGCACATTCTCAAAATATGTATACTGTAATTCAAAATTATCGGATAGTTCAAAGAACTTTTTCTGTCATTTTTAGTCTATAATAAATAAATCAAGTGGTCTTTTATGTGCTAAACTCGAGAACCCGCCAGTCTCTGTGCTTTTCGCGCGCATTTTTTTCCATTGGTTATGGCATTTTTCGCAATAAAACAATGAGTTATCGTGCAGATGTTTTTCAATTGTTTGAGTGATTTTGAGCAAAGAACGAACGAATAAATCCCTAGAAATAATCACACGTTTTGGAGATTTCTAGCAAAAAATGCAATGCGATAATGTCCGCAGATGGATTTTTTCATTAACATTGCTAATTGAAATAATGAGCATGTCATAATTAGCATATATCAATATTTAAAAATATGGTTAAATTTGAAGTTTAAATAAATGAAACCAACAAAAATCCGAATATTTGAGGCGAAATCCATATGAATTTTGAAAATTTGATAACAGCACCACAAATTTCGTTTGTCAATATTTCAGCTAAAGCTTCTGTTGTATCAGAGGTCTCGAATGGAATATCCCAATCAATATATTCGCTGCTCATTTTCACAGCCACGGAAAATTGTCGAGAAAGCCGGATGCTTGATAAATTGCACCTCTTATTTTATTTCGCGCTTCTGGTTTTCTTCCCCTTGGCTTTTTTTTTCAAACCAAAAAAATGAATGTGGAGCATGAGCCGAATAAAATAGTTTGAAACGCATCTCGACTCGATTGCATATTCATTAGACGCGATGTTTCTTATGTTCGGCTTGTCTGTGTGTTCCGAATGTTTGCCCCCAATCATTTTTTGTTCAGTTTCAACACGAAATTCGAATATTGAGATTTCACACCTCGACGCAACTCGATTTCCGTTTTTTTTTCAACGACGTTGACCGAGCACAACGAAAAAAAACACGAGAGCAATGTAGGATTTTTGCTTTTTTTTTCGAACGCTCACCTCAGAATCTAATTTTTAAATCTTTTCTCGCAATAACTACATATTTTCCTTTTCTTTATGTACTGTAGTGTTCCATGACGTCATACTGATTGTTCGACGACCTTCCTTTTCTGGATATTCTTGTGGAACTGTAATATATCTTTAAAAAATGTATTTTCATAATTTTACTAATGAAACATTCACAAACATGAAATGTTTACTAATGATCCTCCAACATTTTTCTCTTTTATTTAATTTCCGCTTCTTGCATTCCATTCCTTATTCCTACAATCGTCATACAAATTTTTTTATAATTTGAATAGTTGATAATCATAGATATGGTATTCATTTCCAGTTGAGTAATTTTCAAATAAATCAGTCGTTGCGAGACCTTGACTAGCTGCATTGCGAGAAGCTCATTCATTAATTTTCATCATCGGATCTCGTGTGAAATGGCTTGATTTTTCTTCCAGCCATTTATGGACCAATTCTGAGAAATAAAAAAAAGAAATGTGTTATTTTAAATTTTTTATTTTCTGAATAATAATAAAAAACAACAAATGTTTTCTTCTCAATTCGTAAAATAAAGGGTTTCTTGAAATATGATAAAACTTAATTAAAATGAAAACTTTAAATATTTCAAAAAACTTTTCACATATTCTTGTTTTTCGAATATATATATGGGGTGATTAAAAAATATAAATCTAAAACAAATAGCGATGTAAAAATGCATTACATTTGCAAAAAAAATTGAGTGCCTTGCTTCGCAGGTTATTCAGAATACGATAGGCAAATTCCCACTGTTTAAATTCGAATTTGAATTGCCGCCTCGAAAAAGTGCGATGGTCCATAATCATTCAATGTGCTCGTTTTTTGAGATGGTAATAATAAGAATTGAATAATCATGAAATTCAACATAAAAGTCACTGATGAAAATGGGATCAGATCGCAGATGCATTTTTATCCTTGATTCATCAATTGTTAATCTGTTTTTATCGTCCACTTTTAAAAATTGAGAAATTTGTGAACCATGGATCAAAAGTGGATAAAAAATGGATCTGCCACAGATTCCCTTTTCATCCACTTTTTCTCCATTTCCCAACGTGAAGTGTTCTTTCAATAATTGATCAATTAGTCAAAATACATAAATGAGAAGAACAAATTTCGTATTTTGACGTCACACTGGGCTCCCCAGAAAATATAGTCGATAAATCGTGTGGATTTGAGCCAATTAAGATGAAGAACTCGAAACAGCTGACACTTCAACTCGTCCAGTTTCATGGATACACATTTCTCAATGTTTTTTTTATTTTCTTTGAGAGTGTATGTGTGTGTGTGCCATCTTTCTTCGCCCTATAGTTTATATTTCATTGTTTATTTGAAACTGACGACGTTTGAAGGATTCGGATTTCGCACTCAAACATTAACTTCTGCAGAGTATGACGACGACATCGGCGACGGCAACCGCGGAAGCGTCGCCTGGTTGTTGTGGAAGATGGACGCCGACGATTCGGGTATGTCTTGCCAGCTACTGAAACATCTCGTCGCCTGTTCCAGCTCTCCAGTATAATCATCTCAATGTTACTGCTAATATGCGAAATTGTGCTGGCCACGTTTGAATACGTCAGCTTTCGTTTTGACGATAACCCAATATCTGCACTTTTTGCAGGTACGTCAGCATTTTGCCCAGGCGATTTTCAAAATGTTTTTTTTCAGGTCTTTTCACGTTTCACTCATTTTTTACGCTTTTCTACATTATTGGTGCTTTCCGGATGATTGAATGTTTTATGGTCCCTTGGCTCACATTACAGGTCTCGGCTCCAATTTTTGTTTCCAGTGTATCGATCGCATTTCAGCTTATATTTCTCACCACATTCGCGTTGTTCACAATTGTTTGGTGGATTGCGACGCTTCTTTCCGTATTTGGATTGGTTGAATATTACGCAGCGACGAAAAATGACAGTGAGTTCGCTTGACCGCATTCGTAATTTGCATCTGCGGACATTTCCAGAGGGTCTCACCAACACCGAATTCTTCGTCGGCATCGGTCTTGCTCTCACCGTCACCTTATTGGTGTCCATTAAATTCTCGCAAATTCTTTACAAGGGCTTCGTGAGCGTTCGCAATCAGAACATCGCCCACTACCGTATCACACAGGCTCTCGAGCGGAAAACCTCGATGCAACTCAAACCAAGCTACGTGTAACATATTGACGAGGAAAAAATATGAAAAATTGATTGAACGAACGGGTGCAATAAAATTTATTGGTTTTCTATGTACTTATATGGTATTCTAAATGGTTAAGGCAAGAAGCCAAAAAAAATTAAAATTGAGCAATTACGAAATGAGTTTAACCCTATCGACACCAATGCTATCGGCAAGCTCATTCTGAAATTTTCGTCTTGAAACCATCTCCACAAAATATTCACTTACCACATGATCAATCTGATTTGGATGGTATGGAATTCCTCCCAGCTTCTCGACAAGTTCAACATGTCTCTTCTCCATATCGCCGGCAACTTCCACCGGTTTTCCGGGCTCCGCTGGCGGCAATCCTCTCATGGTATTAATAAAATCTTGAAGTCTTCCATTGAATCCTGGCGCGAATGCCTCGGGATCGATAGCGACGAAACACTGCCCAAGATCCGCTTCGGCACTTCGACTCATCCATGTTCTCACATTCGGTCCCCAATGAGCACCGCCAAGGATGCCGCAGAAGATCTCGATCATCGATGTGAGACCGTATCCTTTGTATCCGCCGCACACCTCGGTTCCACCCAACGGAAGAAGGCCGCCGCCGTCAAGAATTTCCTGTGGATTATGCGTTTCTTTGCCTCCTTGGCCGACTCCCCAAGAGTTCGGAACAGTCATATTCTTGCGGTTCGCGAGTTCAACCTGAAACATATATGGTAATTTATAAAATCATTTGACCAATTTGGCTCCCTCTTTCAAGCGGTAATTTTTCATTCATAGGAGTCACAATTACATAGTTAGGAGGGTATACAGGGTGGCTGAAAATTACCCGGACTATATGAAAACCAATGTGAAAACGAAAACCAAGAAAACCAATGGAAGTCGTGTTGCACATAAAATTAAGCCTACACAAAGAAAAACGAATACTTTTTCGGTTTCTCATTTAATTTTGACAATTCTTCACAAAATATGATCCTTAGTTCTATAGTCGGAGATGGCGACTGCGTTATGGTGGCCGCTAGAACTAAATTTTTTTTGAGTCTCGAAATATACAAACTCATAGAAACATGGTGTACCGTACTACGCATAATCTGCGAATCAAACTCACGGACATGCGAGAAATTAGCTAAAATCGACACTCATGTTGCAAGACCCAACTCTACAGTAGACCGCAACATCCGCAGTCACTTCAACAATAAAATACAGATCCAAAGACGAAAGCGAAAAAGTAACTGACAAATAGAAGCAACAAAAAAGACCGAAGAGTGCGCGAATACCGTATTCAATAACACGATAAGTACATTGCTTTTTTTTCACAACTCAAACACTGTATATACATATTTACCAAGTTTTTTTTCCCCAAAAATTTCAATGAAGAATGTTTTCGCTCGCAAAAATAGCAACAATCATGTGAGTTGTTGTATTCATTTTAAAATGTAAAAATTTAAAACACATTTTCTGCTAATTGAAATTACGAGTTTTCTACATACATACATGTGTTTGATATCGCTGAACTATAAAAATCCAAATTTGAATTTTGAATAATTCAAAAACCCGCGCGAAATTCAAAAATTGAGAATAATTTTCAAACACAAATTACATTTTACTGTTTTTTAATGAAATGAAAAACTAAGTATGCATTTCTTTTTACACTCATTCAATTTTTTTCGGGCCACTACACAATAAATGTGAAATAAGAAGAACCAAGAAATGTTTTTCAATTCGTAGGGGATCCATGATAATTCGTTTTGTTATCTCATTCCTAACATCATAGACTTTGCATTTTGACCATTTGGACCCCTTGATTCGAAATACACTTCGAAATGTGCAATACGACTTTTGCTATTTTCATTTTTACCCTTTTCAATACAACTCTGTAACACAGAGGTGTGTTTAGAACCTGACTTCATCAAAAATGAGACTCCACCTACACAATGTACCCATTAGAACATTAGACCCACATAATATCGCTCGGTCCAACGACTCCATATTAAACTGGCCCAAGCATAATCCAATTAATGAATTTCACGTGAATCGGGATGAACTTGAAACACAAACATTTGGCTTTTATAGGTGTTTAATTGACTGGCGCAGAAGATAGAATTATTACAGTATGACAGAAGCTGGATTCCAATTATCAATACGCTTAATTGGGCATTTCCACGGTTTGCCGACGTCTTTTGATAGACTTCTCTCAAGCTCTCTGGAATCGCTTCCCCCCCCCCATTTTCTTATATGCCAATCAGCAATCATATTAGTCTCACGCCACCTCGACGATGGGGGTGCGCGCACCGATCCGAAAACGCGTCTGCGTCTTAACAATTCCGCGACACGGTCCTACATTGAAGCCAATTTGGGTCAACGATACTTTCACCTCAGAATCCGCTTGTAGCCACACCATGGCTACTAGAGGTGCGCACACTCTATCGTCGATGATTTGCCTATTTCGGTTGTTGCCATACACATCTTAGACATCGTCGAACTAGTATTCATGTTTCACTTTTACTTATTAACATTTGTTCGAAACATTTGAACAATCTAGACCTGCTAGACATGATCATTTCTATCGTCATTGCTCTGATGTTTCCAAACAATTTCACTGAAACATTGAAGGTCCTGAATCGGATCAGAGGCGTTCCCCTGGCCTTCCTTCATATCTATCTTTATTTACAAATGCCATCCAAATAATTGCACCAATAGCCTTTGCGTGACCTTGGCTGACCTTAGTTCGAGCGACACGTCATTCAAAGTTCCCATATTTTTGTCATAGTATTCATCTTGCTTTCTAGACGAATGGCTTCAAACAGTGAGAGCAGGAGCAGCTCAAGCTCTTCAGGCTCGTCTCTTGGGTCCGGACCGAAATCGAATCCGATCTACACGTTCATCGTCAACACGTTTTGCATTCCGGCAATTCGAAAGTAATTGAATTTGTATTTGAATTAGTCCATGAAACATGATTTCTCTTGTTAGATTCTTCGGTCAATTTTTGGCAAAATCATCGGAGACATTGATTTTATCCATTCCTTCTGTTGGTTACTCGCAGACATTCGGCAATCGTGATGATAAAAACAACAACAACAACAATATACCTTCAAAGCCAGTTCTCCTCATCATCGATGGACCAATTCACTTCTGCTGGGTGATGCTCCTTGATCCAAAGATTGGACTTGGCGAGTCCTATATGGCAAATGACTGGACCAGCTCGCCAAATCCCACCGAGCTTCTTCGCCTCTTGATTCGCGCCAAACGTCAAACGAAAATTGCAAAATCCGCCGAACAGCCGGATGAACCGCATAAAAAGTCAATCGTCTCGGTGATCTCAAGCATCGTTGTCGATCTGATTCGCAAAATCGCCAAGGTATGCACACGTTCTTAATCTGTTTAACCGTGAACCCTTAAAGGTTGTCAATTACGGACAACATTGGATTCGCGAGAATAGCTTGACACAAAGCACAAAAAACATCCAAGCGCATTATGATCTTGGAAATGAGATGTTTCAATTGTTCCTTGATAAATCAATGACTTACTCAAGCGGAATATTCGATAGTAAGTCCACAGTTAATTAAAACTCAAAATTGTTTAATTTTAGCTATAAAACCGGTCACTGATGTGGACTTCAATGCTCTCGAACAAGCTCAATATCGCAAGATTGACCGTTTGATTAAGCAACTTGACCTTAAAGCTCACGATCGTGTACTCGAAATTGGATGTGGCTGGGGATCGGCTGCAATTCGGGCCGTTCAGAAGACTGGATGCAAATGGACTGGAATTACCATTTCAAAAGAACAACTCGAACTCGCACGAAAGCGCGTCATAGATGCCGGTCTCGAGGGGCAAATAGAATTGAGATTCCAAGATTATCGGTATTCGACTCTATCATCGATTCGTTCGTTTCATTCGTTTGATGTTGTTCAGACTTGTCAAGGAAAAATACACGAAGGTGATATCGATTGAGATGATCGAGGCGGTCGGCGAGAAATATCTGCCCGCTTATTTCCAAAAGATCAATGATGTCCTCGAAGACGGCGGCATTGTGGGAATTCAAGCGATCATCTGTCCCGACGCCTACTATGATCAATACAAATCATCGTCAGACTTCATCAAAAAATACATCTTCCCTGGAGGTCATCTGCCATCACTTGGGGCCATCAAAGCCAGCCTACCTCCCACATTGGCCCAGACTGATCTTTTCAGTATGGGACACCATTACTCGATGACATTAGAAAATTGGTTCTAGTAAGTCTTCCGATTAATCCCAATCTGCTACGAATTTGCATTTTTAGTGCCTGGATGCGCGCCAAGAACGAAATCGAAACTCGCTTCCAACTCCCCTCCGACTTCCATCGTCGCTGGCAATTCTACTTTTGCCTATGCGCTGCACTCTTCTCATATGATCACATCGACGTTGTGCAGCTCACTTACAAGAAGAAGCAAATCGCCTAATTGGTTTTAAAATTATTTTGTTTTGATCTCTAGTCTTGGCTTTTACTCGGTTGTTGTTCATTTGCTCTTATTTCCATCGCGCATTTATTGTTTGTACTTGTACAGTCTATCAGATGAGATCTGCCGAATGAAAATCGTACCTTTCCGATTGCCACCGTTGTCGAAGCCATATCGAGAACGAAGGCGTCGCCGTTCTCACCAGGAGCTGCCACACTGATCGGGTTTGTTCCGAGAGCGGGCTTCGCACTCCTCGTTGGGTATTCGAATGGCGACGTGTTGGTCATGGACATTCCCTGAATAGAAATTTGTCAAAACAAAAAAGATTTCGTGCTCATTATTTTCTACCAGCATTCCTTGTTTCATGGCACGAAGCGTATACCAACCAGCGATTCCATAATGATTTGAGCCTAAAACAATTCACCGAATTCTCAATTTTGAAAAAAATTAAATAAGAAAATTCACGTTTTCCTACGAAGGCAATCAATGAAAAACAAAATAATTAGGTTCAAAAGTCACTTTCTCTGATATCAATCCCTATCTCTCATTGGCAATGTGATACGAACGTGCATTCGTCAACATATACTATCAATAGATAACGTGTTTACGTACCTTTTGCCACAACCCATCCGATTCCAGCCTCTTTCGCTTTTTTAATTGCCAAATCCATGCAGAAGTTGCCGACAACCGGTCCCAACACGTTGTTACCATCAACCCAGGCTGTTCCGGCGCGCTCCTTCAAGATTTTCGGCTCACCGTCACCCTTACAAATGTTCAACTTGACATCTTGAACATACATTCCTAAAAAACAAAAAAAAATTAGAAATTATAGGAATAATTGGCAAAGTGGTACCTAGTCGATTCAAACCATGAGAATAATGGCCCCGTATGTCTCCTTCTAATAGAACGTCAGCTAACTGAACAGCATGAGCTTCACTGGTCCCTACTTTCGTCATGCAGTTCACCATGAACTGTCGCATCTTCAAACAATTCAATCGATGATAAAACAATTAAATAGAAAAAACAAACCTCATCCTTATGTACAACTCGCTCACCTTCGGCCGCCATTCTCGAGTAGAATCGGTAGAAATGTGATGGCCGCGCGACGAGTAACGTCTGATAAGCCAAATGGAGACGACCGTTGATAAACATGGGGCCTGAAAATCGGAAAAAAAATTGACAATGCGATGAGGAGAAATAGAGAACACGTTGATTTCACATAAGTACATTTTCGAATCAATTAAACAACACATGACGTCGGAAAAGGAAAAGCATTCATTCATTTCTTGCTAAAATCAAAAGTTGCAAGCGTTTTAATTAATTCCTGCTTCGGTTGTGGGAAAAACTCCGAAATTGATTCATATGACAATTTTGAGGAAAACAGCTCGGCCAAGTTGGTTACCTACAAATTTTCCATATTTAGTCATTTATTTACTTCATTCTTCTTAGTCTTACTGAGGATTCAACCATGAACTTTTGCACATCCTGATTCCTCAAATCCAAATGTGTGCTGAGAGCTCGAACAAGAGTCGGATTTGCTTTTCTCTTCTTCTTCTCTTTTCGCTTCTTCGCCGCTGGCTCCTCCTCCTCCTCCTCTTCGACCTGGTCGACTTTTAGTGATACTGCCTTATCAACGTCAGGTTCGGGAGAATTCAACTGTAAAAAATAATATGATTTCGGTTCAGAGAACAATTTTCGACTTTTAGTTCAATGAACAATTCGGCGGAATTTGTTGGCGACATCGACCAGATAATTCGCATGTTCGGATGTGCTCGGATTAATGCACAAAGACGAGAGCGCACCTCGCGACAATGACGGCTCAATTCTCCCTAAATTCTCATTGTAAAGTACCCATTTATATGTATTTGAACATTGAAAAACCAACGTGGACCATCGCACTTTTCAAGGTGGTAATTCAAATATGTAAATGGTGAGAATTCTAATACCGTACTACAGAAAACCTGTGAAGCTTAAATCGACACAGGTTTTTTGCGAATGTAATATTATACTTTTATTTTAAGTTTCGTGCTTTTTAAAATTTTTCCCCATCAAGCTTCAACTATATGAAATGAATCGAATTTCACTTATTAATTTATTAAAATAACATGCTGACGAGAGTCAATAGTACCTGAAACGGTCCTCCATTCACTATCTTGGTCTCAAACTTGGTACTCGATTCTACCAGCAAAACCGAGCACTCGTAATGCAGCAACATTTGCTCAATTTGCTTGAACACTCTTCCAGATTGCAACGATTGTGTGAGATCATCAAGCGCTTTCCGTTCCACCGCAATGTTCGTCGACAGGATGTAATCACCAACCTGAATAAAAAAATACCCCCCATCGTTTCCACTTTTTTTTGTCGGTGCTCGATTTGTTTCAAAACGTCTGCAATTGCATCACATTTTGTTATAAAACGTGTCCGAAAATAAACGAAAATCATGATAAAGTATTCATTTCAATTTTATAAACAATTCGCTGAAATTCAATACCTCGAGTGTTGCCGCCACCACGTCGTACCCTTTTGTATACAAAACTGTTGGAAGCTCGCTATTAAATTCTCGCATATCAACGATGACCTGAAATCCGTGGATCAGAGTCCAATTCAATAGACCAAAAAAAACAACTTTGGGCCGTTCAATATTCTCGGGATCGTCTTGATCGCCACCACCATCTCTCGTCGACGTCTTTATCTTTGGTGGCTCCTCCCGTTCAACATTAAATTCTCGAGCAATCATCAACGTCTAAAAATGAAAATTAATAGAATAAATGGGTTTTTGATCTACCCCTTGTTCTCTGATAAGCGCTTCAAACGCCAAAGTTTCGCGGTTAATCGATTCCAAATATCGGCTTTCTTCGGTCGATTCAAGGTACTGCAGACAATAAACTTGTAAGTATTTTTTAGGGTTACATGCGCGATAAAGCTGAATCAATAAATTATTTCCGAAGTTCGTCTAGCTTCTTTTTTTTTTAAACTTCAATCTGCCGCAGGGTCTGCAGATTCATTGTATACAGCACAATAACACTCGGCTGCTTCTGCTCAAGAAGTTTCAAAATCGTGTATCGATCCCAGTCATTAGCCGACGCCATGATCAGCTCACAATTCGCAATTTCTCCTATCTGTTTCACCTCGCCATCATCCACAACTTCCTTCTTTACTTCCATGTCATTGGCGACATTAGCATCCTGCGAAAAGTGCAATTTTTGATCTACCACCTCGTTACGAAAATCGTCATTCAATTTTCTTTTTTTTAGTGCTTCTCTATCCTTTTTTATTCGCTGCTTTTCATCTTTTCCCTCATTGCTGCTCCATTAGAGGAGTCGTGCTCTTGCGGTGGGCGGAGTCTGTCAGACATGCATATAAGCGTGCAAAGTGCTCTTCTGCTCATTTCCACCTCTAATTGTGCTTAGACAACTCAGCTTTTTTCTTTTCAGGATACAAATTTGTCCAGAGCCATGAGTGCCAATGGAGCTATTTCGAAGAGGGTAAATCTTGTTTTTTTTTTAATTTCAACTCAAAAATCAATTATCGTCACATAGATTATTGTCCATTCACCGAATGTGAAAATCAATGAGGACAATACAATGGAGTCGCGATTCGTCTACCGCAAGAACCATATCGAATCGCGCGCTGACGGCCTCCATATCACTCCAAAGGAGCATGAGTACGTGTTCAAGACGCAACTCAAACCGCGTAAGACCGGCCTCTTGCTCGTTGGTCTCGGCGGCAACAACGGCTCGACGGCGGTCGGCTCGATCTACGCGAATCGCTATGCGATGACCTGGCGGACCAAGGAGGGCGTCAATCAGGCCAACTACTTCGGCTCTGTGACCCAATCGGCGACGGTTCATCTCGGCTATGACGGTGAGAAGCAAGTCTACGTGCCGTTCAAAGACATCGTACCAACGGTGTCTCCAAACGATTTGGTTGTTGGAGGTTGGGATATCAACAATTCCAACTTGTATCAAGCTATGATCCGCGCGAAGGTTTTATAGGAAAAATAAATCCCTAAAAATGAAATTATTTAGGTTTTTGAACCGGAACTACAAGAGAAGCTTCGCCCATTCATGGAGTCGATCGTTCCTCTTCCATCGATCTACTACCCGGACTTTATCGCTGCCAATCAAGGCGATCGTGCAAACAATGTCATCCCCGGAGATAATAAGCAAGCTCACTTGGAGCACATCCGTGAGGATATTCGAAAGTTCAAAGAGATCAACCAACTTGAGTGCGTCATTGTCCTCTGGACAGCGAACACCGAAAGATATACAGACGTGAAGGATGGTCTCAACATGACCGCTGACGAGATTCTCAACTCGATTAAGAACAACGAGCTTGAAGTTTCCCCATCGAACATTTTCGCGGTTGCGTCGATCCTCGAAGGAGCACACTATATCAACGGATCGCCACAAAACACCTTGACACCAGGAATCATTCAACTCGCTGAAAAGCACAACGTCTTCGTCGGCGGTGACGATTTCAAGTCGGGACAAACCAAATTCAAGTCGGCATTCGTTGATTTCTTGGTTAGCAGTGGATTGAAGCCGGAGTCGATTGTTTCCTACAATCATCTCGGAAATAACGACGGAAAGAATTTGAGCGAGGCGAGACAATTCCGTTCGAAGGTTTGACGGACCAACGCAAAATTCGACTAAACAACCATTTTAGGAAATCTCAAAATCATCAGTTGTTGACGATATGGTCAAATCGAACCATATCCTCTTTCCAACTGCCGAGAACCCAGATCATTGCGTGGTGATCAAGTACGTTCCGTATGTCGCGGATTCGAAGAGAGCTATGGATGAATACATCTGCAGGTTGTCATTATACCAAAAAGAAATTATGAACCATCATTCTTTAGCATTTTCATGGGCGGAAAACAGACATTCGTCGTTCACAATACTTGCGAAGACTCTCTTCTTGCTTCACCTCTAATCTACGATCTCGCAATTCTCACCGAACTCGCTAGTAGAGTGACGTACAGAGTCGGAGACGAGTTCAAGTCGTTCCACTCGGTTCTATCGATTTTGTCGCTTCTCCTCAAGGCACCCGTCGTGCCACAAGGCACACCGATCTGCAACGCTTTCATGCGTCAGTTCTCGACGGTCTCGAAACTTCTCACAGTGCTCGCCGGATTCCCATCGGACTCTGACATTCAAATCGAGTTCTTCACCGAGTTACCCAAGCCGCAGCAATAATTGTTGGTCTTTTTTTTGCTATTCATCGATTGCCGCATGTTGAATAAAATTAATGTTACCGATGCGTCCGATCGCCGCTTTTTGTATTGCAGAATTCCGAACTGAACAATACTTGTCTGAATCTGCGAGTCCCTCGTATTGCCTATCAGCTCTTCAGCCGCTTTTCGACGTTTCTGAGTTGCTCGTGCTACCGTCTTTTGTGTTTTTTGCACATTGGCGATGAGCTCAGACTCGGAGTCCTGAACAGAAATATTTGTTCGAAACTTCAAAATAGTAAATACCAGTTGACTTCTGAACAGAATGGAAATATTATCCGGCTCCCATAGAGGCTCACTTTCAGGACAATCTTCTTTAATTCTCTGACCAAGTTGTCTAAACGCCATCCACTTTGCCTTCTGGTTTCCATGTTTGACGACGTCGGCGACTTGCCTTGTCACGTCTTCAGAATTTGTAAGGACAATAACGGAAGGTGTGCGGTCCTCATAATCTTTGGATTCAAGGGGGATGCGCTTTATCTCTTCCAATACTTGGGCGAGAACATTCCATTTCGCTGGCTGTACGAACTTGCTCAAATCACCTTTTCCGGCAATGGAAATTCCACAAAGAATTTGAAGATCTTCCATAATTCGAGAGAACGATGGCGAGAGAAGCCATCCACTGTGTCCTTCGAGCACTGTTTTATCATTTTTCAACGCTTGAAGTCTTGCATAAACTGTCGCTGGATCCAAATTCTCCGACATTTGTAGAATTTCACGAAGGAATCCCGCATCATTGATAAGCCGTTGCTGTTTGTCGCTGATGAATCCCTTTCGATTTTTGGGCCTTTTTTCGAGTTGCGTTGGAGCCCAAGGAACATGAATCATCTCTTCGTTCTCCTCGCCGGTCTGTTTTCCAGAAGCAGAGCATGTTCGCAAGTCTCGAATGCACACTTTGATGAAATCCATGAGTGCACGATGAATTCGACGCATTGCGGGAACAACTTCGACGGAGAATACAGCAGATCGCAGCTAAAAAGAGAAACGAAATATCCCATATTAATTTTATTTTACTCTATGAGTAAAATATACCTGATATTTGTTTAATTCTGTCTCAATTGTTGATGAGAATCTTGGTAAAAGTTCGACATGCCTTATATATAGACGATCAATTAATCGCTGAAGTTGTCCTAGAAAATATTTTTTCAAGAAAAAAAATAACAAATTACCAAGCGATGATATAACATTAGGATTGTCGGTGAATGCTTTGACCATCCCATTCAATTTCTTTTCTCGGTATAACCTTAGAATAAACGATTCTTGAAAAGAATTCAGCGTTCTGAAAGATCTCATCATGTTTATTCATTAGAAAAGTGTTTACTGATGTGCTCTGTAAACGAAAATTGCTGCGATTCGGTTGACGGGGATTCGATTTTGCAGGAGATCCACAAGAATGACGCGACTCGAACAGAATTGAACACCTCCTTCAAGATAAATCGATTGGCGGTCCTTAATGCTCACATCGGAATTGATCACTTTTGGCACACAATCAGTGTTATGCTCTTTTAGCTTTGAAATAAAGTAACTATCATCCTGCGGCGTTGTGTTTAGCACAAGTGCAAGAAGGCGACGATCAGAGAATAACAGCAAATGCTCAAGAAAGAGACGTTCAACTCCTAATCCGTTGGCTACAATGAACAGCGTGCTAGCAGGCAGGGTCTTGGCAAGAACATTCTTTTCATAATCCAAAAGATGAAGTCCACAAGGGTTTCCAATAAACCCTTCTTCATTCTCATCTTCAACATCCTTAACGCATTCCGATGTGGATGGCTCCATTTCTACAGACAACAAAACAATAAACTCCCAATTCTCACAAATATAACATCCCGACTTTACAGATGTGATAATTTACAGCAGATAAGAATCATTTTATTATAATTTAACAAAATTTCATTTTTCCTTCAGCTGAACAGTTTTGCGATATTCTGATCTGAAAAATATATTTAAATGAGCAAATTAAAAAAAAAAATACATTTTCCACAATGCGATTGGCAGTCAGTTGGCGAATGATATATAAATATAATCCGTCGATTTCAAATGACTAATTCGCCATCCTTTGGGTTGTATATTTCGGAAATAATTTTCACTCCTTACTATAAGTCGTTACGCATGAATATGCATTGATAGAAAATAGTGCAGGGAGATATTGACTTTTGCTGAAGTAGCAGCATCTAAAAGTAAAGAAATTCCGAAATGAATACAACTTTGATTTTGAAGGAAGAAAAGTAAATAAAGATTGATTTTTAAATGTTGGATTATTCAAATAACAATGACATCTTGAACATACATTCCTAAAAAACAAAAAAAAATTAGAAATTATAGGAATAATTGGCAAAGTGGTACCTAGTCGATTCAAACCATGAGAATAATGGCCCCGTATGTCTCCTTCTAATAGAACGTCAGCTAACTGAACAGCATGAGCTTCACTGGTCCCTACTTTCGTCATGCAGTTCACCATGAACTGTCGCATCTTCAAACAATTCAATCGATGATAAAACAATTAAATAGAAAAAACAAACCTCATCCTTATGTACAACTCGCTCACCTTCGGCCGCCATTCTCGAGTAGAATCGGTAGAAATGTGATGGCCGCGCGACGAGTAACGTCTGATAAGCCAAATGGAGACGACCGTTGATAAACATGGGGCCTGAAAATCGGAAAAAAAATTGACAATGCGATGAGGAGAAATAGAGAACACGTTGATTTCACATAAGTACATTTTCGAATCAATTAAACAACACATGACGTCGGAAAAGGAAAAGCATTCATTCATTTCTTGCTAAAATCAAAAGTTGCAAGCGTTTTAATTAATTCCTGCTTCGGTTGTGGGAAAAACTCCGAAATTGATTCATATGACAATTTTGAGGAAAACAGCTCGGCCAAGTTGGTTACCTACAAATTTTCCATATTTAGTCATTTATTTACTTCATTCTTCTTAGTCTTACTGAGGATTCAACCATGAACTTTTGCACATCCTGATTCCTCAAATCCAAATGTGTGCTGAGAGCTCGAACAAGAGTCGGATTTGCTTTTCTCTTCTTCTTCTCTTTTCGCTTCTTCGCCGCTGGCTCCTCCTCCTCCTCCTCTTCGACCTGGTCGACTTTTAGTGATACTGCCTTATCAACGTCAGGTTCGGGAGAATTCAACTGTAAAAAATAATATGATTTCGGTTCAGAGAACAATTTTCGACTTTTAGTTCAATGAACAATTCGGCGGAATTTGTTGGCGACATCGACCAGATAATTCGCATGTTCGGATGTGCTCGGATTAATGCACAAAGACGAGAGCGCACCTCGCGACAATGACGGCTCAATTCTCCCTAAATTCTCATTGTAAAGTACCCATTTATATGTATTTGAACATTGAAAAACCAACGTGGACCATCGCACTTTTCAAGGTGGTAATTCAAATATGTAAATGGTGAGAATTCTAATACCGTACTACAGAAAACCTGTGAAGCTTAAATCGACACAGGTTTTTTGCGAATGTAATATTATACTTTTATTTTAAGTTTCGTGCTTTTTAAAATTTTTCCCCATCAAGCTTCAACTATATGAAATGAATCGAATTTCACTTATTAATTTATTAAAATAACATGCTGACGAGAGTCAATAGTACCTGAAACGGTCCTCCATTCACTATCTTGGTCTCAAACTTGGTACTCGATTCTACCAGCAAAACCGAGCACTCGTAATGCAGCAACATTTGCTCAATTTGCTTGAACACTCTTCCAGATTGCAACGATTGTGTGAGATCATCAAGCGCTTTCCGTTCCACCGCAATGTTCGTCGACAGGATGTAATCACCAACCTGAATAAAAAAATACCCCCCATCGTTTCCACTTTTTTTTTGTCGGTGCTCGATTTGTTTCAAAACGTCTGCAATTGCATCACATTTTGTTATAAAACGTGTCCGAAAATAAACGAAAATCATGATAAAGTATTCATTTCAATTTTATAAACAATTCGCTGAAATTCAATACCTCGAGTGTTGCCGCCACCACGTCGTACCCTTTTGTATACAAAACTGTTGGAAGCTCGCTATTAAATTCTCGCATATCAACGATGACCTGAAATCCGTGGATCAGAGTCCAATTCAATAGACCAAAAAAAACAACTTTGGGCCGTTCAATATTCTCGGGATCGTCTTGATCGCCACCACCATCTCTCGTCGACGTCTTTATCTTTGGTGGCTCCTCCCGTTCAACATTAAATTCTCGAGCAATCATCAACGTCTAAAAATGAAAATTAATAGAATAAATGGGTTTTTGATCTACCCCTTGTTCTCTGATAAGCGCTTCAAACGCCAAAGTTTCGCGGTTAATCGATTCCAAATATCGGCTTTCTTCGGTCGATTCAAGGTACTGCAGACAATAAACTTGTAAGTATTTTTTAGGGTTACATGCGCGATAAAGCTGAATCAATAAATTATTTCCGAAGTTCGTCTAGCTTCTTTTTTTTTAAACTTCAATCTGCCGCAGGGTCTGCAGATTCATTGTATACAGCACAATAACACTCGGCTGCTTCTGCTCAAGAAGTTTCAAAATCGTGTATCGATCCCAGTCATTAGCCGACGCCATGATCAGCTCACAATTCGCAATTTCTCCTATCTGTTTCACCTCGCCATCATCCACAACTTCCTTCTTTACTTCCATGTCATTGGCGACATTAGCATCCTGCAAAAAGTGCAATTTTTGATCTACCACCTCGTTACGAAAATCGTCATTCAATTTTCTTTTTTTTAGTGCTTCTCTATCCTTTTTTATTCGCTGCTTATCATCTTTTCCCTCATTGCTGCTCCATTAGAGGAGTCGTGCTCTTGCGGTGGGCGGAGTCTGTCAGACATGCATATAAGCGTGCAAAGTGCTCTTCTGCTCATTTCCACCTCTAATTGTGCTTAGACAACTCAGCTTTTTTCTTTTCAGGATACAAATTTGTCCAGAGCCATGAGTGCCAATGGAGCTATTTCGAAGAGGGTAAATCTTGTTTTTTTTTTTTTAATTTCAACTCAAAAATCAATTATCGTCACATAGATTATTGTCCATTCACCGAATGTGAAAATCAATGAGGACAATACAATGGAGTCGCGATTCGTCTACCGCAAGAACCATATCGAATCGCGCGCTGACGGCCTCCATATCACTCCAAAGGAGCATGAGTACGTGTTCAAGACGCAACTCAAACCGCGTAAGACCGGCCTCTTGCTCGTTGGTCTCGGCGGCAACAACGGCTCGACGGCGGTCGGCTCGATCTACGCGAATCGCTATGCGATGACCTGGCGGACCAAGGAGGGCGTCAATCAGGCCAACTACTTCGGCTCTGTGACCCAATCGGCGACGGTTCATCTCGGCTATGACGGTGAGAAGCAAGTCTACGTGCCGTTCAAAGACATCGTACCAACGGTGTCTCCAAACGATTTGGTTGTTGGAGGTTGGGATATCAACAATTCCAACTTGTATCAAGCTATGATCCGCGCGAAGGTTTTATAGGAAAAATAAATCCCTAAAAATGAAATTATTTAGGTTTTTGAACCGGAACTACAAGAGAAGCTTCGCCCATTCATGGAGTCGATCGTTCCTCTTCCATCGATCTACTACCCGGACTTTATCGCTGCCAATCAAGGCGATCGTGCAAACAATGTCATCCCCGGAGATAATAAGCAAGCTCACTTGGAGCACATCCGTGAGGATATTCGAAAGTTCAAAGAGATCAACCAACTTGAGTGCGTCATTGTCCTCTGGACAGCGAACACCGAAAGATATACAGACGTGAAGGATGGTCTCAACATGACCGCTGACGAGATTCTCAACTCGATTAAGAACAACGAGCTTGAAGTTTCCCCATCGAACATTTTCGCGGTTGCGTCGATCCTCGAAGGAGCACACTATATCAACGGATCGCCACAAAACACCTTGACACCAGGAATCATTCAACTCGCTGAAAAGCACAACGTCTTCGTCGGCGGTGACGATTTCAAGTCGGGACAAACCAAATTCAAGTCGGCATTCGTTGATTTCTTGGTTAGCAGTGGATTGAAGCCGGAGTCGATTGTTTCCTACAATCATCTCGGAAATAACGACGGAAAGAATTTGAGCGAGGCGAGACAATTCCGTTCGAAGGTTTGACGGACCAACGCAAAATTCGACTAAACAACCATTTTAGGAAATCTCAAAATCATCAGTTGTTGACGATATGGTCAAATCGAACCATATCCTCTTTCCAACTGCCGAGAACCCAGATCATTGCGTGGTGATCAAGTACGTTCCGTATGTCGCGGATTCGAAGAGAGCTATGGATGAATACATCTGCAGGTTGTCATTATACCAAAAAGAAATTATGAACCATCATTCTTTAGCATTTTCATGGGCGGAAAACAGACATTCGTCGTTCACAATACTTGCGAAGACTCTCTTCTTGCTTCACCTCTAATCTACGATCTCGCAATTCTCACCGAACTCGCTAGTAGAGTGACGTACAGAGTCGGAGACGAGTTCAAGTCGTTCCACTCGGTTCTATCGATTTTGTCGCTTCTCCTCAAGGCACCCGTCGTGCCACAAGGCACACCGATCTGCAACGCTTTCATGCGTCAGTTCTCGACGGTCTCGAAACTTCTCACAGTGCTCGCCGGATTCCCATCGGACTCTGACATTCAAATCGAGTTCTTCACCGAGTTACCCAAGCCGCAGCAATAATTGTTGGTCTTTTTTTTGCTATTCATCGATTGCCGCATGTTGAATAAAATTAATGTTACCGATGCGTCCGATCGCCGCTTTTTGTATTGCAGAATTCCGAACTGAACAATACTTGTCTGAATCTGCGAGTCCCTCGTATTGCCTATCAGCTCTTCAGCCGCTTTTCGACGTTTCTGAGTTGCTCGTGCTACCGTCTTTTGTGTTTTTTGCACATTGGCGATGAGCTCAGACTCGGAGTCCTGAACAGAAATATTTGTTCGAAACTTCAAAATAGTAAATACCAGTTGACTTCTGAACAGAATGGAAATATTATCCGGCTCCCATAGAGGCTCACTTTCAGGACAATCTTCTTTAATTCTCTGACCAAGTTGTCTAAACGCCATCCACTTTGCCTTCTGGTTTCCATGTTTGACGACGTCGGCGACTTGCCTTGTCACGTCTTCAGAATTTGTAAGGACAATAACGGAAGGTGTGCGGTCCTCATAATCTTTGGATTCAAGGGGGATGCGCTTTATCTCTTCCAATACTTGGGCGAGAACATTCCATTTCGCTGGCTGTACGAACTTGCTCAAATCACCTTTTCCGGCAATGGAAATTCCACAAAGAATTTGAAGATCTTCCATAATTCGAGAGAACGATGGCGAGAGAAGCCATCCACTGTGTCCTTCGAGCACTGTTTTATCATTTTTCAACGCTTGAAGTCTTGCATAAACTGTCGCTGGATCCAAATTCTCCGACATTTGTAGAATTTCACGAAGGAATCCCGCATCATTGATAAGCCGTTGCTGTTTGTCGCTGATGAATCCCTTTCGATTTTTGAGCCTTTTTTCGAGTTGCGTTGGAGCCCAAGGAACATGAATCATCTCTTCGTTCTCCTCGCCGGTCTGTTTTCCAGAAGCAGAGCATGTTCGCAAGTCTCGAATGCACACTTTGATGAAATCCATGAGTGCACGATGAATTCGACGCATTGCGGGAACAACTTCGACGGAGAATACAGCAGATCGCAGCTAAAAAGAGAAACGAAATATCCCATATTAATTTTATTTTACTCTATGAGTAAAATATACCTGATATTTGTTTAATTCTGTCTCAATTGTTGATGAGAATCTTGGTAAAAGTTCGACATGCCTTATATATAGACGATCAATTAATCGCTGAAGTTGTCCTAGAAAATATTTTTTCAAGAAAAAAAATAACAAATTACCAAGCGATGATATAACATTAGGATTGTCGGTGAATGCTTTGACCATCCCATTCAATTTCTTTTCTCGGTATAACCTTAGAATAAACGATTCTTGAAAAGAATTCAGCGTTCTGAAAGATCTCATCATGTTTATTCATTAGAAAAGTGTTTACTGATGTGCTCTGTAAACGAAAATTGCTGCGATTCGGTTGACGGGGATTCGATTTTGCAGGAGATCCACAAGAATGACGCGACTCGAACAGAATTGAACACCTCCTTCAAGATAAATCGATTGGCGGTCCTTAATGCTCACATCGGAATTGATCACTTTTGGCACACAATCAGTGTTATGCTCTTTTAGCTTTGAAATAAAGTAACTATCATCCTGCGGCGTTGTGTTTAGCACAAGTGCAAGAAGGCGACGATCAGAGAATAACAGCAAATGCTCAAGAAAGAGACGTTCAACTCCTAATCCGTTGGCTACAATGAACAGCGTGCTAGCAGGCAGGGTCTTGGCAAGAACATTCTTTTCATAATCCAAAAGATGAAGTCCACAAGGGTTTCCAATAAACCCTTCTTCATTCTCATCTTCAACATCCTTAACGCTTTCCGATGTGGATGGCTCCATTTCTACAGACAACAAAACAATAAACTCCCAATTCTCACAAATATAACATCCCGACTTTACAGATGTGATAATTTACAGCAGATAAGAATCATTTTATTATAATTTAACAAAATTTCATTTTTCCTTCAGCTGAACAGTTTTGCGATATTCTGATCTGAAAAATATATTTAAATGAGCAAATTAAAAAAAAAATACATTTTCCACAATGCGATTGGCAGTCAGTTGGCGAATGATATATAAATATAATCCGTCGATTTCAAATGACTAATTCGCCATCCTTTGGGTTGTATATTTCGGAAATAATTTTCACTCCTTACTATAAGTCGTTACGCATGAATATGCATTGATAGAAAATAGTGCAGGGAGATATTGACTTTTGCTGAAGTAGCAGCATCTAAAAGTAAAGAAATTCCGAAATGAATACAACTTTGATTTTGAAGGAAGAAAAGTAAATAAAGATTGATTTTTAAATGTTGGATTATTCAAATAACAATGACATCTTGAACATACATTCCTAAAAAACAAAAAAAATTAGAAATTATAGGAATAATTGGCAAAGTGGTACCTAGTCGATTCAAACCATGAGAATAATGGCCCCGTATGTCTCCTTCTAATAGAACGTCAGCTAACTGAACAGCATGAGCTTCACTGGTCCCTACTTTCGTCATGCAGTTCACCATGAACTGTCGCATCTTCAAACAATTCAATCGATGATAAAACAATTAAATAGAAAAAACAAACCTCATCCTTATGTACAACTCGCTCACCTTCGGCCGCCATTCTCGAGTAGAATCGGTAGAAATGTGATGGCCGCGCGACGAGTAACGTCTGATAAGCCAAATGGAGACGACCGTTGATAAACATGGGGCCTGAAAATCGGAAAAAAATTGACAATGCGATGAGGAGAAATAGAGAACACGTTGATTTCACATAAGTACATTTTCGAATCAATTAAACAACACATGACGTCGGAAAAGGAAAAGCATTCATTCATTTCTTGCTAAAATCAAAAGTTGCAAGCGTTTTAATTAATTCCTGCTTCGGTTGTGGGAAAAACTCCGAAATTGATTCATATGACAATTTTGAGGAAAACAGCTCGGCCAAGTTGGTTACCTACAAATTTTCCATATTTAGTCATTTATTTACTTCATTCTTCTTAGTCTTACTGAGGATTCAACCATGAACTTTTGCACATCCTGATTCCTCAAATCCAAATGTGTGCTGAGAGCTCGAACAAGAGTCGGATTTGCTTTTCTCTTCTTCTTCTCTTTTCGCTTCTTCGCCGCTGGCTCCTCCTCCTCCTCCTCTTCGACCTGGTCGACTTTTAGTGATACTGCCTTATCAACGTCAGGTTCGGGAGAATTCAACTGTAAAAAATAATATGATTTCGGTTCAGAGAACAATTTTCGACTTTTAGTTCAATGAACAATTCGGCGGAATTTGTTGGCGACATCGACCAGATAATTCGCATGTTCGGATGTGCTCGGATTAATGCACAAAGACGAGAGCGCACCTCGCGACAATGACGGCTCAATTCTCCCTAAATTCTCATTGTAAAGTACCCATTTATATGTATTTGAACATTGAAAAACCAACGTGGACCATCGCACTTTTCAAGGTGGTAATTCAAATATGTAAATGGTGAGAATTCTAATACCGTACTACAGAAAACCTGTGAAGCTTAAATCGACACAGGTTTTTTGCGAATGTAATATTATACTTTTATTTTAAGTTTCGTGCTTTTTAAAATTTTTCCCCATCAAGCTTCAACTATATGAAATGAATCGAATTTCACTTATTAATTTATTAAAATAACATGCTGACGAGAGTCAATAGTACCTGAAACGGTCCTCCATTCACTATCTTGGTCTCAAACTTGGTACTCGATTCTACCAGCAAAACCGAGCACTCGTAATGCAGCAACATTTGCTCAATTTGCTTGAACACTCTTCCAGATTGCAACGATTGTGTGAGATCATCAAGCGCTTTCCGTTCCACCGCAATGTTCGTCGACAGGATGTAATCACCAACCTGAATAAAAAAATACCCCCCATCGTTTCCACTTTTTTTTGTCGGTGCTCGATTTGTTTCAAAACGTCTGCAATTGCATCACATTTTGTTATAAAACGTGTCCGAAAATAAACGAAAATCATGATAAAGTATTCATTTCAATTTTATAAACAATTCGCTGAAATTCAATACCTCGAGTGTTGCCGCCACCACGTCGTACCCTTTTGTATACAAAACTGTTGGAAGCTCGCTATTAAATTCTCGCATATCAACGATGACCTGAAATCCGTGGATCAGAGTCCAATTCAATAGACCAAAAAAAACAACTTTGGGCCGTTCAATATTCTCGGGATCGTCTTGATCGCCACCACCATCTCTCGTCGACGTCTTTATCTTTGGTGGCTCCTCCCGTTCAACATTAAATTCTCGAGCAATCATCAACGTCTAAAAATGAAAATTAATAGAATAAATGGGTTTTTGATCTACCCCTTGTTCTCTGATAAGCGCTTCAAACGCCAAAGTTTCGCGGTTAATCGATTCCAAATATCGGCTTTCTTCGGTCGATTCAAGGTACTGCAGACAATAAACTTGTAAGTATTTTTTAGGGTTACATGCGCGATAAAGCTGAATCAATAAATTATTTCCGAAGTTCGTCTAGCTTCTTTTTTTTTAAACTTCAATCTGCCGCAGGGTCTGCAGATTCATTGTATACAGCACAATAACACTCGGCTGCTTCTGCTCAAGAAGTTTCAAAATCGTGTATCGATCCCAGTCATTAGCCGACGCCAAGATCAGCTCACAATTCGCAATTTCTCCGATCTGTTTCACCTCGCCATCATCCACAACTTCCTTCTTTACTTCCATGTCATTGGCGACATTAGCATCCTGCAAAAAGTGCAATTTTTGATCTACCACCTCGTTACGAAAATCGTCATTCAATTTCTCAGCGATTCAATCGGGACGAACAGCGGTTGTTTTTGGGTTTGGGATAACCCGCGGAACAATTTGGGGCAAACACGGGAAACATTGAACTCGGTCAAAACAAAAGTCGTCCACGGTTTAGCCCAAACTCTAAACGGAGGGCAGTTTGTAATTGGAGTGTCGTACTGGAATTATTGAAAATTTTTTAACGTTTACTCAATTTCTATATAATTTTCATCATTATGTAAAGAAAAATTAATTTTAGTTCTAGCGCAGTCATCCACGGTAACGCAACAATTGGAATGAAAAGAAGAAGGCCAACGTTTGAAGAAAATGGTATGTCAAATAATGTTAAATACTCACTGGCAGAAGTGAAAACGATGATTGCGGAACAAAAAATGAATGGTTTTTCGTCAATCAAACAGTAAAAAACCATTTATTTACCATAAAATAATAAAAAACCATTCATTAACCATCGAAAATCGTTCATTCGCGAATTAAAAACCATTCGTTAATGAGACGATTCATTTTCTAAATAATCATTTTTCATTCATTAATAATGTTTTTGCTGTTCATTCATTAACCATTCGACTTCGATCGTTCCACTTCTTGCAGTGTGCCGTAAAATATGAGACTGAAGATATAGCCTAGCAAGCATGGAATAATAAACACATTTTTCTAGAGACAATGCTGAGAAATCTTGGCATACGTGTCACAAGACCAGCGTTCTTCATGGATATGAAGGAAGAATTTTGCAATGAAAACAATCATAATTTCGAAAAGTCGCTGCTAATTCAGCCGCCGTTTATGAAAGACGATTCGAATTGTTCACTGCCAGACTCGATCAACTACTCAATGAATGATTTGGGGTTCAACACTCAGAATGATGAGATATCGCAACGATATGACGCCATTGCAAAGGTTAATCAATTGCTCAATCCATTTTGTTTATCGAAGTCGTGCATTGAAGCCGTGCTGCTAGCGGCACATTTTATTTGTAGCTATAACTTAACGGTAAAACTAAGCTAAGAGAAAAACTCACGATGCATGATTTTAGATTAATGATTTAAATGAGACAAATGAAAATGTTTTCTTATCGAAGTATAAACCTAGAGTTTCTGTTTTCTGCAACGAATGTCTGGTGTCAATTGGAGCTTCAAATTCTTGTCAAAACAATATCTGTGTAAATTTCAGGTATGAATATAGCACTCCACGAATATAAAATACTTTCAGAAAACATATGAAAAAAGGAACGAAGACAGAAGCTTTAAAAATTGTTTCATACAGTGTTCGCCCACAATTAGAACGAGTTACGAGTAATCAATTTGGTGAATTACTATCAACCCACAGCTACCATCACAGAAATACAGTGGTAATATTTTATTGCAACATTATAATCGTGATATTTTTAATCGAATTTGTTTTATTTTCTTAAGGAAACAATTCGAGATTATTCTTCATTTCACCGATCGCGGTGTTATCATGATAATATCGAAAGTTTCGAGTCTTTTGAGAATAGTCATTTGACTATTCCTATTTCGTTGGCGGTGGACGGGTTTCGACCAGTTAACCATAATAGGTATTCCCCTAAATGTTTTTGTTCCTTTTTGCAATTACTTGAAAATTTTAGAAACGAAATAACACCAATATACGTTCGTTTAGAAGGAGTTGGAAGAAAATCAAAAGAAAAGGTCGATTCTGTTATTCTTGCAGCCTTAATAACAGGACCAAACAGCTTAAATCACACGAATTGTGATATTATCATGAGCAGGTATTAAACTAGTCCGACCAAATGAAGAATGAATATTTTCATATTATATAATTCATATTTAGGCTAATAAATGAACTTGATGAGATTCGATTTGAACCCATTCGTATTGACAATAATAATGAAATCTACTACATCGATTTTCAACCAGCTAAAATGTATTGCGATTTGAAAGTTTGAAATGTACTGCGATTTGAAGCAAACTGAAATATTATTTTAGGCTGCTCGTTTGATGTATACACTTCCGAATTGGCAGAAGCTCGAAGGATGTGCATTATGCACAATTACAGGTACTAGAGTTGGGCGATCAGCGGTTGCTTTTTATTCGAGCGAGAGGTCAGAACCACGTACAAAAGAAGATATTCACCGTCTAATGGAGAGAAACGGCGCTCAATGTAAGTTTTTTAATTTTTTTTTTTAACGCCGAACATTATAGGTTTTTTGTCTCGTATGGTTGGTCCTCAAGACATGGCATTCGATGAATTACACCTGCTTAGTGAAGGTGTTGTTAAAAATACAATAGTAAATCTATTATGTAGCAACCAAATAACATCAACGTCATCTCTGCCAAAGTTAAGAATTCTGCCGAGAAACGTCGTAAAAATTCAAGAATCGATTTTCAAGGCAAAGCTACCACCGGGAATTAATTGTGAGATGGCAGATATCCGAAAACTCTCTTCAGCCACAGGAGCTCAGATTAGACAGGTACTATTTTTTCGCTTCTTTATATGCCTTTAAAAAATTGTTGTGCGGAGAGCTCAGGTGTATTTACTTTATGTATCAAGCGGATCTGCTAAAAACAATTATGTTAATTTATCCAAGCTCTAGAGAGACCACACAGAAATTAAATTATGCGTTATAGACATCAAGGATTCTCTTCAATATATTGTCGCTGTTACCCGTTTACACCGTCGACACCCGCATTTTCTTTTCTGCATTTATCAATTACGTCGAACTCTGTTTGGATGCCAAAACGGAGATTGACTTACAAAATATGGATGATCTCAGCTCTTTCCTTAAAACAGCAATGGGAACTCTAAATAAGGAGAAATATACGCTTAAAATGCATGTAGGTTACATTCATACCGGAAGGTGGGAAAAAATTTTATAACGCTATCAAGGAAAAATGTGGATATAGTAGTTTTTTGAAAGATATATGTGTTAAATTTGTCTTAAAATGATTTTTTCCGAATACGATTATGATTTTATTATAACTTCAACCATTCTCCTTCAATTTCAGTTGCTCTTTGAACACATGGTTGAAAACATCAGAAGAAATGGAAATTTATCTTCTACTTCTACTTCATATTTCGAAAAATGCCACAATTTAATATCAAAAAATCTTTCGCAATCCAATACATCAATACAAGAACTCGGGAAGCGCTTCCTGTTGAATATTGATACAAGAATAAATAAGAGGTAGGTGCAATTTGATTTTACTCTCATACAATAAATTGTTTAGCGAGGAAAATTTAATTCAATTAGATAATTCTACGACTGCGCTCGAACTGTATAGAATCAGAAATGGCGATGAGAAAGAAGCTCGGATAAAAAAATGTTTCCTGGATTGATATATATCAACTTATGGTATTAAGCTATGATTAAAGAATTTCACATATATTCAAATTACAGGTCTCGAGTGGTATTTCATCAAGATCTCTTATCCTCAAACAGCTGGAGAAATAACAACAAGAGCACTGTAATTTGCTACGAATCGGAATTCGGAATCGAATATGGAACATTAGAAGCTGTAGCACAAACATCAGATCGAATTTTTTTCTTTTTTCAGGTTGGCAGCAAGATTGGGAGACAATAAAGCGGAAATAAGTCAACATTATGAGAAGCTGATTATGGATGTGGCAAATATGGTGGACTTTATTTATTTCAAAGCTCACCGAGTTTTGTAAGTTTTTTGTAATACTTTATATATAGAAATAAGCTATATATATTCAGTAATGATCTTCGGAACAAAAAAATTGTGGAAACCCAAGGCCAAAATGGAGTTGTGCGCAAACGATTCGAACAGGATCCAAACGCATTAAAAAGGAAAGAAAAGGTAATAGAAATCACAGTTTTCTAGAGTCATGAAATAACTAAAACTTTTTTTTATTAAGAAAACATCGAACGACTTCCGCCATTCGCCGACACCGATTTCGGATGAAGAAGACGTCGATGAGGATGAAGCCAACAACGACATTGAACATAACGGTGATTTGCTTTAATCCCAATTTTTTTGCTCTGCTCATTCGTCGAATCGAATAGAATTCATCTGTTTCGATTCAACGCAATATCTTAAATGATCAATCGATTTCCATTAGAAGTCAATTGGAATGTAGTTCGATTGTGAAACGAGCAATACGAATTTGATTCTAAATTTTTTACATTCGATCATTCATTAGTATTCGACGAATTAGCAGAGTGTCCTTGTTTTTTTTTTGTTATCCTAAATGTTAAATTATTCATGTTTTATTGTAATCTTTCCTCTTTTTTTGTCAACGTTTTTATTTTAAATATCGATATTTGCATTATTTGTTACCTATTGATTTTGGAAAGGTTCGAATAAATATGTTATTTAAATAAAACGCGCATTACCCAATAAAATTCATGAGCTGCTAAAACAAGGGTGATTACAACACTCCGCGCGTACACCCGTCGTTTGGGTTAACCCGCGGAACATTTTGGGACGACCAGTGTGACCCCGAGGGAAGGCCGTTCATCGTTTTTGGGTTCGCCCAAAAACAACCGCTGTTCGTTCCGATTGAATCGCTGAGTTCTTTTTTTTAGTGCTTCTCTATCCTTTTTTATTCGCTGCTTTTCATCTTTTCCCTCATTGCTGCTCCATTAGAGGAGTCGTGCTCTTGCGGTGGGCGGAGTCTGTCAGACATGCATATAAGCGTGCAAAGTGCTCTTCTGCTCATTTCCACCTCTAATTGTGCTTAGACAACTCAGCTTTTTTCTTTTCAGGGTACAAATTTGTCTAGAGCCATGAGTGCCAATGGAGCTATTTCGAAGAGGGTAAATCTTGTTTTTTTTTTTTTAATTTCAACTCAAAAATCAATTATCGTCACATAGATTATTGTCCATTCACCGAATGTGAAAATCAATGAGGACAATACAATGGAGTCGCGATTCGTCTACCGCAAGAACCATATCGAATCGCGCGCTGACGGCCTCCATATCACTCCAAAGGAGCATGAGTACGTGTTCAAGACGCAACTCAAACCGCATAAGACCGGCCTCTTGCTCGTTGGTCTCGGCGGCAACAACGGCTCGACGGCGGTCGGCTCGATCTACGCGAATCGCTATGCGATGACCTGGCGGACCAAGGAGGGCGTCAATCAGGCCAACTACTTCGGCTCTGTGACCCAATCGGCGACGGTTCATCTCGGCTATGACGGTGAGAAGCAAGTCTACGTGCCGTTCAAAGACATCGTACCAACGGTGTCTCCAAACGATTTGGTTGTTGGAGGTTGGGATATCAACAATTCCAACTTGTATCAAGCTATGATCCGCGCGAAGGTTTTATAGGAAAAATAAATCCCTAAAAATGAAATTATTTAGGTTTTTGAACCGGAACTACAAGAGAAGCTTCGCCCATTCATGGAGTCGATCGTTCCTCTTCCATCGATCTACTACCCGGACTTTATCGCTGCCAATCAAGGCGATCGTGCAAACAATGTCATCCCCGGAGATAATAAGCAAGCTCACTTGGAGCACATCCGTGAGGATATTCGAAAGTTCAAAGAGATCAACCAACTTGAGTGCGTCATTGTCCTCTGGACAGCGAACACCGAAAGATATACAGACGTGAAGGATGGTCTCAACATGACCGCTGACGAGATTCTCAACTCGATTAAGAACAACGAGCTTGAAGTTTCCCCATCGAACATTTTCGCGGTTGCGTCGATCCTCGAAGGAGCACACTATATCAACGGATCGCCACAAAACACCTTGACACCAGGAATCATTCAACTCGCTGAAAAGCACAACGTCTTCGTCGGCGGTGACGATTTCAAGTCGGGACAAACCAAATTCAAGTCGGCATTCGTTGATTTCTTGGTTAGCAGTGGATTGAAGCCGGAGTCGATTGTTTCCTACAATCATCTCGGAAATAACGACGGAAAGAATTTGAGCGAGGCGAGACAATTCCGTTCGAAGGTTTGACGGACCAACGCAAAATTCGACTAAACAACCATTTTAGGAAATCTCAAAATCATCAGTTGTTGACGATATGGTCAAATCGAACCATATCCTCTTTCCAACTGCCGAGAACCCAGATCATTGCGTGGTGATCAAGTACGTTCCGTATGTCGCGGATTCGAAGAGAGCTATGGATGAATACATCTGCAGGTTGTCATTATACCAAAAAGAAATTATGAACCATCATTCTTTAGCATTTTCATGGGCGGAAAACAGACATTCGTCGTTCACAATACTTGCGAAGACTCTCTTCTTGCTTCACCTCTAATCTACGATCTCGCAATTCTCACCGAACTCGCTAGTAGAGTGACGTACAGAGTCGGAGACGAGTTCAAGTCGTTCCACTCGGTTCTATCGATTTTGTCGCTTCTCCTCAAGGCACCCGTCGTGCCACAAGGCACACCGATCTGCAACGCTTTCATGCGTCAGTTCTCGACGGTCTCGAAACTTCTCACAGTGCTCGCCGGATTCCCATCGGACTCTGACATTCAAATCGAGTTCTTCACCGAGTTACCCAAGCCGCAGCAATAATTGTTGGTCTTTTTTTTTGCTATTCATCGATTGCCGCATGTTGAATAAAATTAATGTTACCGATGCGTCCGATCGCCGCTTTTTGTATTGCAGAATTCCGAACTGAACAATACTTGTCTGAATCTGCGAGTCCCTCGTATTGCCTATCAGCTCTTCAGCCGCTTTTCGACGTTTCTGAGTTGCTCGTGCTACCGTCTTTTGTGTTTTTTGCACATTGGCGATGAGCTCAGACTCGGAGTCCTGAACAGAAATATTTGTTCGAAACTTCAAAATAGTAAATACCAGTTGACTTCTGAACAGAATGGAAATATTATCCGGCTCCCATAGAGGCTCACTTTCAGGACAATCTTCTTTAATTCTCTGACCAAGTTGTCTAAACGCCATCCACTTTGCCTTCTGGTTTCCATGTTTGACGACGTCGGCGACTTGCCTTGTCACGTCTTCAGAATTTGTAAGGACAATAACGGAAGGTGTGCGGTCCTCATAATCTTTGGATTCAAGGGGGATGCGCTTTATCTCTTCCAATACTTGGGCGAGAACATTCCATTTCGCTGGCTGTACGAACTTGCTCAAATCACCTTTTCCGGCAATGGAAATTCCACAAAGAATTTGAAGATCTTCCATAATTCGAGAGAACGATGGCGAGAGAAGCCATCCACTGTGTCCTTCGAGCACTGTTTTATCATTTTTCAACGCTTGAAGTCTTGCATAAACTGTCGCTGGATCCAAATTCTCCGACATTTGTAGAATTTCACGAAGGAATCCCGCATCATTGATAAGCCGTTGCTGTTTGTCGCTGATGAATCCCTTTCGATTTTTGAGCCTTTTTTCGAGTTGCGTTGGAGCCCAAGGAACATGAATCATCTCTTCGTTCTCCTCGCCGGTCTGTTTTCCAGAAGCAGAGCATGTTCGCAAGTCTCGAATGCACACTTTGATGAAATCCATGAGTGCACGATGAATTCGACGCATTGCGGGAACAACTTCGACGGAGAATACAGCAGATCGCAGCTAAAAAGAGAAACGAAATATCCCATATTAATTTTATTTTACTCTATGAGTAAAATATACCTGATATTTGTTTAATTCTGTCTCAATTGTTGATGAGAATCTTGGTAAAAGTTCGACATGCCTTATATATAGACGATCAATTAATCGCTGAAGTTGTCCTAGAAAATATTTTTTCAAGAAAAAAAATAACAAATTACCAAGCGATGATATAACATTAGGATTGTCGGTGAATGCTTTGACCATCCCATTCAATTTCTTTTCTCGGTATAACCTTAGAATAAACGATTCTTGAAAAGAATTCAGCGTTCTGAAAGATCTCATCATGTTTATTCATTAGAAAAGTGTTTACTGATGTGCTCTGTAAACGAAAATTGCTGCGATTCGGTTGACGGGGATTCGATTTTGCAGGAGATCCACAAGAATGACGCGACTCGAACAGAATTGAACACCTCCTTCAAGATAAATCGATTGGCGGTCCTTAATGCTCACATCGGAATTGATCACTTTTGGCACACAATCAGTGTTATGCTCTTTTAGCTTTGAAATAAAGTAACTATCATCCTGCGGCGTTGTGTTTAGCACAAGTGCAAGAAGGCGACGATCAGAGAATAACAGCAAATGCTCAAGAAAGAGACGTTCAACTCCTAATCCGTTGGCTACAATGAACAGCGTGCTAGCAGGCAGGGTCTTGGCAAGAACATTCTTTTCATAATCCAAAAGATGAAGTCCACAAGGGTTTCCAATAAACCCTTCTTCATTCTCATCTTCAACATCCTTAACGCTTTCCGATGTGGATGGCTCCATTTCTACAGACAACAAAACAATAAACTCCCAATTCTCACAAATATAACATCCCGACTTTACAGATGTGATAATTTACAGCAGATAAGAATCATTTTATTATAATTTAACAAAATTTCATTTTTCCTTCAGCTGAACAGTTTTGCGATATTCTGATCTGAAAAATATATTTAAATGAGCAAATTAAAAAAAAAATACATTTTCCACAATGCGATTGGCAGTCAGTTGGCGAATGATATATAAATATAATCCGTCGATTTCAAATGACTAATTCGCCATCCTTTGGGTTGTATATTTCGGAAATAATTTTCACTCCTTACTATAAGTCGTTACGCATGAATATGCATTGATAGAAAATAGTGCAGGGAGATATTGACTTTTGCTGAAGTAGCAGCATCTAAAAGTAAAGAAATTCCGAAATGAATACAACTTTGATTTTGAAGGAAGAAAAGTAAATAAAGATTGATTTTTAAATGTTGGATTATTCAAATAACAATTTTGAAGTTATTAATGAAAAAAATGACAGAATTTCTTGAAAAATCGCCTCGGGTATTTCTTTAACGCGTCAGCACATGAAATGCGTCAGTCAAATGTTCGTTACATATCGTTTAACAAGAGCAGCACTCACAATAGCGTTGTGCGGAAATAAAAATTTTCGTGGTACCCCGCAATAGAACTGAACCCAGAATAGAACTCGCTTAACAGATTCAAACGTGTCGTTTCGGCCGGCCGGCCCAAGTAGAGTTGGGCGGAATGAAAAATTTGAAAACGCATAAGCGGAATAGAATTTTTGCGGGATTCAGCTCAAATCTGGGTCCAAGGCACTTTTCTCATATTTTTGTCGAGTAAGCTGCAATTATCAGGGTTGAAAATGGGGGCTTGGCTTCCTGCTCAATTCGAGTTTTACCGGTCCGAAAAATACCATGGTCCACACTAATCAAGATGATCGTTTTTAATTCTGCTGACTTCTTTTTCAGGCTCTTCGGAATGCCAACTGCCGAATGGCTTTCGTTACACATAAATCGACTGCTCTAGCTTCCTGCCTTGACAAATGTACTCCGTAATGAGAGAATGCGTGCACCAGCTCTCACACGGTACCTTGATTTTCAGATACCTTTATTGAACGTCCAACACCAATCAAATCGAAAATTTGTAGGTGCAACGCAATTCTGCTCAATTATTTACACCGACCGCACAACAAACGAATGTGTCAATTTCTTCGTCATTGCCCCCAATCAAAATCAGCATCACGCTGACATCTCTGAACGTGTCAGCCGCTAATTCCACTAGTTCAAAGCACCTAGTTTTGAATATATTTGCTCTTTCCACTTTATACAAATATTTATACATAAATGATTGTTTATGAATTCTAGAAACAGCAAAACACATTGATGGAGTGCTATCTTACAAGAGAATACTAGAAAATACAAGATTTCAACATTTTCCTTCAAAAAGAGAAATTTTATAAATTTTAGTATTTTTTTGATTTATGACTGTAAGATATATGTAGTCTAGTTCTTTGAACACGAGCGCCATTTAAAAATCTCATCGGTGCAGATTTTGCGTGCATTTTTGAAAAAGAGAATTCAAAAATGGCAAAATGACGTAATTTAAAGGGCTTTGGTCGCAAACACCGCCAGTGGTAATTGCAGAATGCATTTCAAAATTTCTCATCTCTGGGTTTTTATATTTTTATTTATTTTGGGGTTTTCCTCGTAATCATACTTTATTATGAATAACATATTCTCAAAATAATAAAGGCCTCAGTCACTAGTGTCATTTATTATTCAGCATAGTCTACCACAATTCTTCATCCATAATTATGAACAACGACAACAACGATTTTAGACGAAATAAAAGCGCACAAAAATTACTCAAGACTTTCGAAAGCATTAGAAATGCATGAAAGAGGACATTTGAAAGATCGGCAGCTCTTCCTCAAACTTTTATGATGGCACTTCTCGGTTTCGACCTCGTTTGTCGGCATTATTTATAGGATACATGTTGCCGATTTTGCGACATTTCTCGAAGTCAGTTTCCAAAAAAAAAGTCGTTTCTTCATTTTTATTCAATTTTAAATGTTCATTTATTCCAAAAAAAGGAGCGGACTCGACAAAATCCTTGAGCCATATTTTTTCTCTTGGGTATTACTACGGGCACAAGAAGGCGTTTGTTTTTTAATCGTTGTCGTTTTTGCGTTTTTGTTTTGTGTGTAGTTCCGGATTATTTTCTTTCTTCTTGGCGTTTTAAAAGGTCCAAAATTGTTTTAGTCATTCAATTAAGCAGTTAGGGCGCGTTAAGCCACTTCTCCGAAGTGAACCGTTCGACTAAATCCTCCGTTGGGCAGTTTAACCAAATATGACAAACAAGTATGATTGGAATTTGCAAAATATTTTTTTCTTAATGAAACATTGAAAGCCTATCCCAAGTATTCCAGTGACTCATCAAATTCATGAAAAATTAATAGAATGCCTGAAAATTCTAGAAGGTCATTTTTCATTTTTTTTGGTTGATTCTTTCCAAAATACGGATAGGAAAATGAAAAAATGAACCGGAAAATTCCATATTTCTTCATTGTCTAATTGTTCCACCTGCGCACCGCTCATAAAGCAACGTTCGTTGTTCCTTCCCTCGTTTCCTCATTATTAATTTTTTAATGCTGGTTCATGTTGTAAACAAACGTCCCTTTTAATTTATTGTTTTTCTTTTTCACGAGAAGAACGACACTGCGCGAGCCCAAATAAGTTTGTTGTTGCTAATGTGCTTTTTATGGTTAGCTACCCGACGAGCCATTGGGAGAAAAAAAAACCCGTCAAAAACTGGCGGCTCCTCATCGCCGAATAGACCAATTTGAATGTGTGTCGCGCGTGAAGCGACAAGCCCGTCCCACACGCTCTCGGCCAGTCGTTTCGCTAAACATATGTTTCAAACAATCTTAATTTTGTCTTGTCCTTTTCCAATGGCCGAGCATTGGTTGCCAATTTTTTGCGCATTCATCCCGCTAGCCTATATATAGGCGGGCTTTATGACGAATATCGAGTTGCATGTCCGTCATAACCGATGAGTTCCTCCCGACGGCCCAATTTTTTCGGACGGGGATTCTAGTCGTATATCGAGTTATTACTATTTATTTCTTTATCACTTAAAATTCAGAGCTCCAAATGGTCCCATTGATTATTTTCTCATTTTAATAGATAGCTGCTAGTAAGAAAATGTCAATGGAAGTGCAAAAAAGCTTCATCTTCCGGTTCCGCTCCGGCTTCTTTTTTTTTCAATTCTTGCCCTTTGCATTCATTGTGTTCGTCGGTATTCCTCGCAAATTCGTTTTCTCACATCAAAATATATCTACTTTTTTTCTCGGCTGTTCTATTCTGCGTTCGTTTAATCCGTAGAAGAATTTTCTATACGAAGGGCGTGATCTCGGAAATGTTGACGAAAAGTTTTCCAAACATAATGTTTTTGAGACGGGTTTCAAGTACCTCTTTAAACGGGTTTATCGCCAGTTTTCATCTTTTTTTTGCGCCAACGGGACCAAGATAAGTCAATTTTTGCGCATAATACTGCAAACGAACGCTTTTTGAGGTTTTTAGTTTGCTATGAAACTTGACTTCAAATACCGTAGCCGTTCCATGGAGTTTTGACGTTAATTGGTCAATGCGAAACCTGCTAATTATCGCGGTTCACCCGAATATCGATACCTACTCGTATGGAAATTAATGGCATTGTTTTCGTCAATTATGCCAAAACCCAAAGTTTTCTATCGCCGCATCTCACTGTATTTTTCACGCACTTTTGGGGAAATTTATACTATGCGCCTTTAAAATGGTTTTGACGCGCACAATCTTTATTTTTCTATTAGAATTGATTATTTCATTCTGAACTATTCAGATTAGTCCTAATAATTTTTTTTTGGTTTTCCTCTCTTCTTCGTAACTATACAAACGCGTGCCATTTGTTTATAAAATACTTTGTGCAAAAGATTTTAAATTTGGTCCGTTGAATTTTTTTTTTCGTCTTGTTGCTCCGTCCCGCCCGCTTTTATAATCCGATGTCGAACATCTCGCGCAATTTGTCAGCCTCCGTTCCGCCCAAACCAATGTAATTTGTGTGCTCTTCTTACTGATTTCGATTCGGGGTCCTTCTTTTTTTTCCTTTTTTTCTAACATGCTCATCAGAAGGCGTTCGAACAATTGCATTCCGAAAAAGTGGGCAAGAAAAGTCAAATTGTGCATGTGCATGTGTTTGTGTGTGTATGTTGCGCATTCTGTTTCGTTGTCGATTCTGAATTGCTCCAATTTTCTATTCATTCGTTCGAATTTCGTCGACACCCACATTATTCGTTTCAGGATGCGTCTCGCGACGAATTGTTGTTGGTGTATATTCCTGATCGCCACTGTCGCGCTGTTTCGCGCTGAGACCCGAAGTTTGCGAAAGAGATCAATCACAGACGCTGATCCATGTCTTGACAAGGAATTGGTTGGAATTTTAATTGCTTTAAATACTGCGAAAACTTGTCATTTTTTTTAGATTGATAATCCCGAGCTTGTGACGTTTTCTCATCAGTTTCAGAATGTCTCCCGCCCGTGGATTCGAAACGATGACGTCAATGTTAAGGTATGAAAATGTTCAATTTTGCTGTTACGGGAAAATCATAAAAGGCTTGTTGCCACGAAAAAACATAATAATTGCTCTCAATATTGTAAGTTTGTCACGAACTGTCAAAAATTTTCCGTTTTTAGTTATACAGAAGCGTTGGAATAAATTATCGATGGGCTTGGATGAAGTCGCTTTGTGTTAAAGGAATCAGAAGGCAGTGCTCAGTAATCACAACTATTTTATTATGGTAATCTTAATTTCCATAATTCAGATTGAAGATATTGTGCAGTTCATGGCGAATAAGAACTGCTTGTTCATGCCCTACGGTCCCACGGTTCGCACTTTTATTCTTCGAGATGACACGACATGGTTGAAAGGAGAAGTTAGCTGCGATATTTCGGAGGTTCGAATTTTTATTTATACTCGTTTGCTTGCATCTATCATGTTCAGTTATATACCCACTGTGTTGAAAAATATGGAGAGACGCTTTGCTCGTTGTACCCGATTGAAGACGGCGGATGGGGTGAATACCGATTGGAGATTGGCGATGGATCTGTTAACAAGTGGCCGCAAATTGGTCTTCTTTTGGAATTCATCGAGTTTTTGCAGCACGATAGGCGAGGTTCGCGCTGAGCCGATTTCAATTTACAATTGGGGAACTTTTACGAAAAAGAAGCCGGAAAGTTGGGCTTACACTGTTGAAGACATGGCGCTTTATGATGATTTGTCTGGATCGACGGTAGAAAAAAAATGAAATCCATTTTTGGTTGATCGATTTTCAATTGTAGATCTTGGTTGATATTACTGGGAATGGATTCACCGATACCTGCGAGAAACGTTTGGTTCCAACGGTCAGAGATGACGAATGGGAAGAATGGAGCGAAAAACAACCATTGAAAATTCTTAGGTATATATGAAGCTATACGAAGAAGCATGGCTAATTGAATTCCGTTAGATTCTACGATCTTCGAGCTGACGGCTTCAGTGTTTCGAACTCCAACTTCCAGAGGTTCATCAATAAGAAAATTACTGAAGGATTCGATAGGAAGGTGAAGTTTGATAGTTGATCGTGAAATTATTATAATTATTGTGTAGGCTGCTGAGACTTTCTATTGCGAGAACATTCTCAAAGGAGTTATTGATTATAATGACGAGACGACTATCTGTTACACGATTTATCCAGAAAGCGAATCGGCTCGTCATATTGCTACAATTCGCACGATAATGACGAAAGAGCTCGGTAACTTACGCTGCTTTTTTATTGAATTTTCGGCTGGTTCTTTAGGACTTTCATGGAACGAAACGATTGGAAAAGCTGTTGATCAATTGGAAGCAGTGTATTTGACGAATAAACAATTTGCTGATATCAAAGCAAAACTGAAACATCGAATTCTTTCCGAAGGTTGTTTTTTTTTTTAAAGAATTGGTTAAGTTTGTGACAATTAAGTAATGTCTTCAGAATCATTGAAAACCACCACCGAGTTGCCGAAAATAATTGTTGAGGGAAAACCGATGATCAAGGATATGGAAGAAGTTCATAAGCGCCCGATTTTGACGATGGCCAATGGACCTGTTGTTGAGCTTCCAAAAGAGTTTCCTAGTGCTCCAAAAGCGAAACCCAATGAGAATTTGGAATTTGAAGAAGCTTCTGCGACCCAGCTTGATGGTATATTTCAAAGAGTTTCGATACGAAATTTATATTTGATTTTTATAATTTGGTTTCGAATTGCGCATCACAAATCAAATGTTTTGGTTGTCTTTTTCTTTAGACAAATTTTTTCCTGCGATTTCTGACCAAAATTCTCGCATGTTTTGTTTTAGAAGAAATTGTGAAGATTTTTTTTGGAATGGATGCGCTCTGTGTACAGTGAGACATAAACTAATCCTGGACAAATATCACATAATTTGAAAGCGTCTTAGAGAATTTCGATAGTCGAATTTTGCAGATAAAAAGGAACCGTTTGCGTATTTGACATCGAGTGAGGATAGCGATGAGAGAACGAAGTTTGGAGTGTTGAATCCGAAAACAAGAATGATTGAGGTGACGAATCCCGATGTGTGGAATCAAGAGGTATGATTTTTTAGTAACTTATTCCAGTCCGCCAAATATTTACAATTTGATATTTAATTTGCAAGCACAAATTTCAAAGTCCACCTCTCAATGCTTTAAAATTTGAAAAAAATCTTGTAAAAATAAAGTCCGACTTCATAGCGGATTTTCGTTTTAAAGATAATCTTACAGTACGTAAACGTGTAGCGTACTGTGGTTTTCACAAAAACTCCGTTAATTTCATGATTACAGTCCGTTGTTCATTCGGATGAAGATTTGTCTGAGAAAGACCGCAAAGCTGCAGCGATCACCACCATTAAATCGAAAGATGACTACGAGCCGAAGGACTACGAAGCCCAGGAATTCAACACTGGTACTGTAATTCTTAACTCGGCTAAAACCAATTCCGTTCTTGTTCTTGCCTTCACCGTGTTTCTCATCATTTTAGCCTAATTAATAGAATAATCGTAACCATACAGTAACCGCTTATCCATTTCTTTCATTCGACAGGTGAATATTTTATTGTTGTTTCTCCCCATATTTTTTTATTTTGTAGTATTTCCGCTTTGTTGCATTGTTTAATACGTGTCCAATTTAGGTCTTATAGTTCAAACGTAAAGATCTCTCTTTTTCTATCATCATTTACCAAAAACCCCCCTGCAATTCTGCTTTACATATTTATAAGCCTGGTTATGTTATATCTTTTTTTGTTTTGCTCCGCCCCATTTTATATATGGTTCTAATTAATAATAATTGGTAGTAAATAAATTTTGAGTCGTGAAACATTCAAATAATTCATAAATACTACTCGTATAAAAGATGATTCACATAAAATCGTCAGAGAGATTTCCACGGTCCTCGTCGTTTCGAATCGCGTCTGCATCCCAATCGACGTCGCCGTAACTTCTGAAATGATTGTGGGTAGTTATCAAGTTTAAACGTAAGGTATGATATGGGATGATATGGGCCAAAATACGGCAGGTTCCAAAAAATGGCCGAATTTCTTAATTGATTAGATTGGTCTTGGCGGAAAAATAATAATTTACGAGATAAGCAAAGAAAATGCTGAGCGCTTTGTGGTCGCGGTAATTGTTTTATTTAACTATTAAGTTTCAAAAAACAAACTTCCCGCAATCGATGCTGGCAATAACATTCTAAAACGTGCGTCATCAGAAGAGAAAAATTGAAAAAATATCGCTTTAGGACTACAGTGATTGAAATTAAATGCTCGAATTTTCACTATTTTAAAGAGTTACTATTTTACTGTTTTCAACATTTATCATTCGTTCTTATTTCGGAAATTAAAGAATCATTGAATTAAAACGAGATTTCGCACAGATTGTGACCATTAATCAACTTAATTGACCGAAAATGAACTTCCTTTGGGCGATTTTCGCACACTAGTTTTAATGATTTCCATGTTTATTGCATCGGCCACCGCATTGGATTTGCAATCGTCTAACCGAAGACAGCTTAGTTTTAAGACTATCCCCTTTCGTGATATGCTATAATACTTCTTTCTTTCGATGTTTTTATTAATACAATATCGGATGAAAATGGCAATTTTTGAAAAAGAAATCTTACTGAATCTTCTTCTGAGCCTCCTTTTCGGCCATTTCTTTCTTTTCTCGCTCTTTTCGTTCTTGATCAAGCTTTCGTTGCTTTCGTCGCTCTTCCGCATCACGAGCATCACGTTCACCCCTAAATTCATTTTCATTATTTTGAATGGTACGTAAAAATCTACTTGTAATCAATATCTCCTTTCCATTTCGTTTTTTCCAATCGATTCACAATTTCGTTGATTTTGGTGGCAACTTTGGCGTATCGAACGCCTTTTTGATTGTGAAAGCCGACCTAAATTTAAAAAATGGTTCTTTACGAGACACCTTCTTTTTCTCACTTGTCCGACAGCCATATCGCCAGTTTTCTTGAGATTTGACCACATTGTATAAACGATTCCAACATTATTCTGCTTGCAACCTTCAATGGAATTCGCTTTGACTAATTGGCAACAATCATCGAGCTACAATTTTCAAAATTTTTTCAATTTTCCAAAATCTTGCTTACTAGAGCTTGTGGAATTGAGTCGATTGTCATTCCAGGGGGAAGTCGAAGATAGACGTGAGCAGATGAAAGTTTGTCGACGTGGAACCACACATCTTCAGGCCATCCATACTAAAAATCATATTTTTCCTAAAAAAAATTTATTAAGCGAGTTACCCGAATTAGCTCCTCGTTTTCCACTTTATCTACTCCCATATAAAGCATGGCCGGCGGATTCACAACATTTGAAGTGAATTTAATAACCATGATTGAAACGAAATTCAAAAACAAGCAAAAACTACCAAAAACTTCTGATGGAAAAATTATTCGGTTCAGAAGTGAGTGCGCGTGTTTGCACCAAATGCGCAATATTTGACAGAATTGGAGGAATTTTTTGAAAATTTGAAAACGCCTGATTGGAAGAAACCTTGTCGCGTTAACGTGGAAAATTAATTAATATACCTCATTTTCAACATAAAGAAAACAATGAGCTAATCCACTTTCGAAAAGTACTTGAAACTCAACGATTGCCAAATTCACACGTCTCTCGTGTCTTCATTGTCGTCAAAATCCCCTAGTGAGTTATAGTTGTAAATCATAAGAAATTGTGGAAAAGTATTCGACGCCGAATTCCCCAGAGTCGGTTGGTACAAGTATTCGCCAACAAATTGACAGAATACTCTCTTTTTTGTGCGTATATATATATATGGGTGTGTGCAGTTTTAGCGCAGCGCGCATTACTCGCACTCCGTTTTTCGGATATTTGAGAGTCGATGTTGCTTTATGATCGCCATTACATATTTATTTCGAGCTCGGCTCATTTCTCTTTCACTTTGCCAATAACAGAAATAATGTATATATATATTTGAGTGTCGCGGGACCGGAAACACGCGCTTCTCGCACATTTATCATCTTTTTTTTCGACAAGGAAATTGAGTTTCGCGGTTTCGTAGTAGAGTTTTCTGATATGTTTTCCAATTATTTTTGTGTCAAATGTCCGTCTTCAGAGTCTCACAAAGACACAATTTGATTTAAAAACTCAACCAGCGATTCATTCCTTCGTAGTAAAACATTTTTTACTCGTTTTTTCGGCTTTGAAACAAACGACTAATATGGCGCCGACCCTAGAATTTGACAAAATCAGTGTAGAATTACACCATGGAGATTTTGACGAGTCGTTTAAATCCGCAAATAAAATATGCTGCTCCGCTCATGAATTCCAACTGCGAGTGTAACTCGAACATCTGTCAAAAACTGAAATCCGACAAGATTCGAAAATTCGTCTATGCTTCATCGTTTTGAGTCGAATGCTTAACAAGATTTTTTTTTTAATAAAATTTTAAACTTATTTTCATTTTGGCCTTTTTTTAATCGCCAAGGCAACATAAACGTTCAAAATCCTTATTAGTAGATTTTAAATAAAGAAAAAAATTCTCCTGTGCCAAACGAGACCCAATACCAAAAATGGTTTTTTTGGCAACAAATTTCTTTCTCTCTCTCAAGATTTGATTTCACCATAATCATTACATTATGTGATGTGTAATTAATTCATTGGCGGTAGGTAACTAATTGGATGCCGCCATTGCTCATAGGTGAGCTCCGCCCATTTCATTACACAAATGTGCAAAATTTGCCACCTGCTCTCATTTTAATTGTTCATTCAATACATACTATTCATCGGCTGAATTGTAGTCGCACATTTATTCTGACGTTTTTATTGCATTTCAAATTTCAACATTCTCGTGTTTTTTGAATTGCCATGAGAATGCCAATTTTTTTCAAAAATTATTTTTTCGTAGTAGGCTTTCATTTATGAAAAATCCGGTTGCTCAAAAAAATACTATCAGCCGATAAATGTCGTTCGTTCACACGTTCAACTATTTAATAATAGAGAACATAGGGTCCAAATGACCGCAAGGTTACGGTAACCTGTTCCCAACTACACCGTGACCACTTTTAGCCCATTGGTGGATCGTTGGTGCAAGATTTGGTGTGATGAGCATTTATGGACCTCAATGAATGTGTCTCGCGTCGCATCGTGTTGCTCACGTGTTTCGACGCGTTTAACCATCTGCGTCTCATCTCAACGCACACTCTCTAAGCGCTCTCCGCCAAAACGGTGAAGGCGAAGAAGGGGGAGGAGGAGGAGAGCCTCGATTTGCTCCGGCTCTTACTACTTTTCTTTTGCGTGCTTTTTTTTGTGAGTTGTCTGTGTGTGTACTGCGCGCGCGCGGTCGAGAGCGCGCAACTCCCGACGCCCCCCTGATCACGTGCCCATAAATGGCCAAACCGCTTATTTATCAATTGTGCTATTTATTATTTTATTCGGCCGCACTCCCTCTCATCATCACAATTCCGATTGCCCGCTGATAAAACCGCGGTTATCAATTCCTTTTGAAATATTTCATTTTTATTCAATACTGGTTAAATAATTCAAGAACTAATAAGGTTACATTCCATCTCATCTTCCAATCCCCAAACTGGTTTCGTTGGTTTCCCAATTTCTATTTTTGCCGTTTTCAGTTTTTTCATGCTAATGAGAGACACTGTATTTCCTCTAGATTTAGTAATAATAATAATAATAATATTAAAATCTTAATAAGCCTACATTATTGCCATTCTCTTTGATTAATGTTGGCAGCATTATTGGAAATTGGTACGAGAAATTCGGGAATTTGTTGATCTTTTTCCGTTTCTTTACGCTTCATCAAGTCTTCTGGGCGAATTCCGTCGCGTTGTGCACAATTGAATATTTTAATGTTGGATGAGGCTCGGAGCAACAAGCATGCAAGCAAAAAGTGCCAACAGGTGCTTGGATCATATGTGTTGTGCACAGGAAGGATCACATGTGCCGATGCACACTTATCGATTTTATTGTCCAGCGAGTTTTGACGTGTTTCGACCAATTTTTGAGTTACATCTGCCCACAATTTGCCCTCGTTTTATTCAAAAATCTTATTCGGTTATTTTGTTTGGGAATTTTTTTTTTGAATTTTGCGATTTTAAATTTTTTTATATTTTTTTTTAAGACTTTGAAGAGGTTCTAAATATTATTTTACATCTATTGGCGAAGAGAGATTGCAGTAAAAATTTGAACTACACTATTTTGTCTCACACTCATTTATGCTTCTGCGTATCAAACATATGCAAAACTACAGTAAACATCAAAGGCGCATATAACAATTTATTATTTTCGCCTCAATAATTAAAACTAGAATTGAAAAAAAAAAACAATTATATATATATTTTTGATGATATAAAATTATCAATTATTCAAATTTTCAACATTTGCAATTTTCATCGCGCTCGAATGAATAATCACTCGAATACAGTCTAATAACCCAATGGAATATGATTATAGGCGGCCGAGAAAATATCGGCCACGGCCATAAACCATTTCTGCTTAATGTTGAACTCGCCGGAAATCCGCTAGAGATATCTATTATTTCATTTTTTTGAGATAAATAATTTTCAGACTTTAAAAACAAAAAAATGATGTCACAGTTTTTTCATTAAAATATTAACTTTTTCTTTTTTCTACTAATTAATATTCGAATTTGTTTCTTTGCATTTATAGCAGTTTATTCGAAATATTTTAGATTCAATTTTTTATGTAAGCAGAAAAGATCATTCCGCGACACAAATTGCCATACACGTTTATTGTCCAAAAATGCATACATACGCACACATGTCGTTTTTTTCTCGTGCCTTCTCGTGCCTTTTTTCCCAGCCGGCAAACACAAAACGTACAATTTTTGTCCATGATAATGTTCGCCGACGTCGTCATCGCCGTCATCTTCTTCGTCGTACAAGAGTAATTCTCATCCATCCATTCTTCAACAAGTGCCTCTGTCTTTCTTCTACTTCTGTATGAGATTCAATTGGCACGTGCCCTCAAAAAAAAACCGTCTTTGTTCGTCCAACCGGTTACCGACCAACCCATTCTACTTGTTGTTGTTGTTGTTTTTTCCATCGCTGCGATTTTTTTTTCGTGTTGCCAACCACCCGAAAAAAGAATTTGTGTGCTCCCAAATTTTTTTATTCGATTTGTTGTTCGCAAAAGAGAAGAGAAACCCACCAACAACAAACGTATGGCAAAAAATCCGAGAATATTTGTCTACAAATTTTGAAGAAATGATTCTATCGATCTGCGGACATTCAATCGGGTTTCGCCAAGAGGCCATCGGATTATAAATAAGGGGCTTTGAAGCGAAAAAAACGTCGAACTCTGCTCCAGCTCAATTTCCTCCATCCACTGTCATATCCATTAATGTCATCGTCTTTTTTTGGTGAATGTAGTTCGTAGGAATCCGATTGTTGTTTACGCAGCCCGGAGGGTCCGCCGCGTCAAGTCGGAGCTCGTTTTCTTCTCGATTTTTTTGTTCTTGTTCATCTCATGTGCCTCTGTTTTTTTCCCTTTCAACACGACTGCTTCTTCTTCTTCGTCTTCGTCACACATTCCTTAGTAGTTTTCATTGTCAACGAACTCTTTTGCCGCATTTTCTTGATAAAAAAAAAAACTCGGCTCAACGAGTTTCTTGAGTTAATTGAATCGGGATATAGAAAGCGCAATTTTCGAAAAAAAAATGGTGAACGAAATTTTTATTTATTGTCAGGGAATTTTGGATGCGATTACTGTACCAATTGAATTGCCGCGTTGGGTCTCGTAAGGAAAAATTTTTGTAGCGAGTTTTTTTTCTGAATATACTCAAAAAAAATGTGAAAGAGCTAATTTTTTATGATTTTTAAAAAAATATTTTCGCTATTTTTAAAAGAAGCTAAATGGCGAAGTGAAAGCACATATAGGTTTACGGAGCCAATTTTCTATTTTTTTTTCAAATTTTCCTCCCCTGACAATATGTTTTCCTAATCCGTTAATTTTGAGGTCTTTTCCGCATTTCTTCTACTGTCATTAGCACTTCAAGATTGAGCATTTCTCGTTCCAGCTCAAACCCCTTAATGTGATGCTCCTCTATTTCTCGCAGTTTCCTAATATTCTCATTTTACTGGTTTTCGTGATTTTCGAATATCATTGGACTACTGTAGCAATTGTTTAAAGCTGTGAATACTCGAATATTAGTCATAAACGAGTGCAACCCCTCAAAAAAGAAAGTACAAAAAATAATATTAAATGAGGTGCACTTGAACTAGAGCAGATTATGTGACTTTTCGACAGAAACCGAAAACAAAAAAAAAAGTGAACACGGCAAAATTGAAATACAAATATTTGTGGCATTGAACTTTCATTTTGCTGCCGAATGGCTACA